GCTGGGTTAATTGTAAAGTATCATCCTGTTCAGTGTGCTCGCTTTGGGCTACGTGACATGGGAAAGAGCTGTGCAGCACCTCTTCTCTCTTCATTGTGATACTTCTTGCATCAGGCTGGTGGGAGTCCTTCCCAAACGATTTTGTGTATTTGAAGGACACTGGACAGGTCCTTGGAAGAGAATCACTGAATAAGGGGACCTCATCAAGCTGAAAAACTCTTGAGCTGAGGCTAAATGCAGTTGCAGTCTAGGAGGGAGTTAAGGGGCTGTGACGACAGTTGGAGGTGGGATATTGGGCTGGCTGGAGCCCAAAGCAGCTCGTAGGGAGCCCAGTGCAGAAACATATATCTCCAGGAGTGGGCCTGGTGCAGATTGAGGGTTTGTACCCCTGGGTGCAGAAAAGCCTGAACAGCACTGTCCTCCTTTCTAGTCTCAGCCATGCCATCATGCACAGAAATGCCAGTACAGACAGGCTGGTCACCTCTGAGCTCCCTTAGGTCCCGGCATAGCCGTGGGGCAGAGCTGGAGCACAGCCTCAAGGAGGTCCCCATCCCCTTGCTCATCCAGCTTGTCTACGAGATAAGGCTGTGCAGCCTCCCTGACGTCAGCGCGGCAGCCAGGAATCCCCTGCACAAAGCCGCAGTGGCTTCGCCCCTGCTTTAATAGTGTACATCGTTTGGGAGCCTCCAGCGCTTGGATGCAGGCACATCATTTCTGCTAGCTTGCGGCATAGCCCCTGGGAACCCCCGCCTGGGAAACGTGACTGTGTTCAGCACATCCGCAAACCTCAAGAGCTGAAACACAACCAGCCAAGTCGATTATATTATGGTTGAGATTCTTAAATAAACAGCACTTGATGAGTGCAGCGGGATGTTTAATAAGAGCCTCCTCAGCCCCCCGTGCCCCCCGCCTCCCATAATCACTTCTAGAGGCAGTCCTACAATCTGCAGCCGCGGAGGGGAGAAGCAGCGAGGCAGTGTAATTTGTATTCCAGCTCTGTTACTGCTCCTAGTGCTTCCAAGAAGCAAGTAAAAATAGCACTCCGTCATTTTGTAAATAATAGCTATCTTCTCACAGGCCCAGGGAGTCATGAGCACTTTAAAGGGAGATCATGGGAAGGGGGGCACGTCTGCCTTGAGCCAGGGCCAGGAAGATGGCACATGGGAACTTGGAGGGGGGGACAGGGGAGGCTGGGTGAAATGGGAACCGTGAAGCACCTCAGCAGCAACCACTGTTGTTTTACACCTTCTGCGTGCACAAGGAAAGCAAACCCTGCTGCTGTGGGGCTCAGGGTGGCAGGATCCAGCCCTCCACACATTGCTAATAGGGATGTTTATCACTTGCGCAAGCAGCTAGATCTGGTGTAGCAAATTCTTGGAGAAAGAGAGGGGTAGCTTTTAAAGAGCAGGCAGGTGTAGGGAGTGCCATGGTAACACTGTGGGAAGGGATGTTACAGCTTTTGTTTTACATTTGCATTGCAGATCTGCCCAGCTGTGGGGGATTTCTGCAGGCAGGAGCAAGGCAGCATTGCCTGGCAGGCAGGTACCGGCCTTTGTACCGTGTGAGAGAAGGGGCAGCTCTGATCGACCTGCAGCACCTTGTTCCTGCTCACACACTTGCTCCAGGTGGTTTTAGAAACACAGCTGTGCTGGAGCTTGGGAATAAGCTGAGCCTATAAATGGGAAAAGCCCCCAGACAAGGGAATCAGCCTCAAACAAATGGCTTGGGAACATGCCATGCCGTTCAGGTCTCTGAATTCTGCCCATGTTCAAACGTTGAACCTGAAAATCTCTTGCTCTTCTAGTTTTGTGACTGCTTCAAGGTCTTTTTTTGCATTCCTGGTCCCCAGGTAGCAGCAGCTTGGGGCATGATGAGGCTCAGCAGTGTGGCGGGAGGGTCCTTGTGCAGCCTGCCAAGAGCAATATTGAGCCCTGTGCTGGGCACAGTTCCCTAATGCAGCCGGAACCGGGCTCTGGTCCTTGCTCTGCTCCAGCTTCCTACCTGAACCAAGTCTCTTCTTTTTTGTTTCCCCAACTGTAAAACAGGACTGGCAGCATCTGCCTGCCACCCCAGCAGGCTTGAAGGCTCAACTCACTTGTACATGTAAAAAAACTGAGTCACAGAGAAGGACGATGCTAGGAGAGGAAAAATGCCATTTAATGTTCTGCAAAAGCTCTAGGGAAAGTGCCTAATGCTCTACAGTACAGTCCTGAATTATTAAATCTTCAGTGAGAACTGGGCAGGGCAGCCAAGGTGCAGTGTGAGTGTGTATGTGGATTGAGAAGGAGATAAGGATTTCCCTGCCATGTCTCTGAGCGGAGGCAGGAGATGCTCCTCTCTCAGCTTTCTCTTGCTGAAAAAGTAGATGTAATTTCTTCTTGTTCAGGATCAAGGTGGGTAGGTGTTGAGGGTATGGAGGGGGGAGGCTGGCTGCGTAGCTCCTGATTTCCCCGGAGAAGATCTCGCTATCACGGAGCCCATGAGCTCGGGCAGAGCTGTGAGCAGTGAGGATGCTCTTGGGCTGCAGGATCACAAGGGAAGTGAATCTCTGAGGCTGGATCTCACTTTGTTCTGCTGGTGTTTTACTTATCTCTGGATTTCTCAGCTCTGCTGAAATCCATGCCTGCGTAGCAATGATTTAATTTCAGAAATCCCTCCGGATCGCAGACAAATCCTGCCCTTAGGAGCACATATTAACAGGGAAAGTTCAGTCTGGGTTTTGCCATGAAAGGTGCAGGGAGCCCATTTTTCTAAGTGCTGAGGAGCATCAGTAAGTCAGCGACTGAGCCAGCCCCTCCAGCTTGTCCCTGCACTGGGTGCTGCCTTGCAGGTGCAAAGGCATCCCACCAAGTTTGGCAGTTTTGCATGGCCTGGTCCAGGGTGTACATCTGCAGTCTGGAAATGGGGGATCCTCTTCAGACCTGGGCTGTAATGAATGATTAATATTATCTAATTATTAATATTAAATTATTTGCATTTATTAATCCATTATCTTTGATTGGATTTGCCAGTAGATTGAAGGGGCGGGAAGGTGTCTCTGGAGTTCTGTGACAGCTAGGTTACGGCATGGTAAGGGTATAAAGGCTCATGTAAAGATAGCAGGATCATATTGAAAGCTGTCCAAAACTAATTCTGCCTTTTTACCTCCTCCTCACTTCCTGAACCCCTTCCCTCGTACTTGGGCCTTGAAGGTCACATTGCAAAGCAAAGGTTCTTTCATGGACTGCTGTCCCTCTGCCCCCTCAGGTGCAGGGGACAGCTCATTCTGCACCTCGCAAGGGCTGGCTTCACTGGCCATGGGCGCCATGGATCCTGATCTGATAACCATGGCTGTAAATTATTATCTTGGGCAAACTGAATGCCAAGAAGGGAGGAGAGGAGGGGAGAGAGAGTTTGTGTTTTCTCTAAAACATAATTAGCTTTCTCTCAACACATGTGTTAGCAGAAAGAGCCTTGCTTCACTAAATGTTCTCTGCTGTGTATCTCATCTGGGGACTTGTTTGGAGGGAGACACACAGAATAACCCTGGTGTTTAAGTCTTACAGAAGTAACTAATTTTGTTCAGGATGATGTCTTGTTGGCTTTTGGGTGTTTCAGAAAGTGTACCACATACATATTTCTCTTTAACCTTCTTTTTTATTGCATCAAGACGAGATCAAGGGTTACTCATATAGCACAATAATATCAGCCACAGGCTGCGTCAGAAGCTTTCCAACCATAATAACTAAAGACATGTATACGTATATTTTAGCCATTAAGGAGAAAACCCTGCCAGAATGCATTATCTTATTTTTGGATACAAAACTTTGAAGCATAAAACTAAGCTTCATAGCTCTGCAAAATAACTGTCAGGGGACAGAAGGATTTCCATAACTGAATTGAGCAATGGGCCATCCAGGCTACTTGAAAAGCTGCTGCAGTGTCCAAAAAAAAAAAAAGAAAAAAAAGTTGTTCTTTCATTGGGAAAGCGGTTCTGAACCAGCTAATCCCATACAAAAGGAGCACAATGGCATGATCTGTCCCTAAAGTGGTGAGGATTTATGGTAATGTAGTGCTAAACTCAAGGCACCTCATCCATCATTTTTTCAGTACAACCCAGTGGGCAGAGCGTAGGACCATGAATCTGGCAAATCACTGTGCCTTGATTTCCCTGCAAAGTGGGACAGCAGCAGAGATTTCAATTAGGAAACGCGCCAAAATCATAATGAATCAAGAATGAGAGCTGTATGTGCTGTTCGGCACATGTGCTGGTGGCTGTGTTCTGCAAAGCACTTCAATTTATTTTTACCTGAAGGCATGTGATTAAGATTGCGCCTGGGTTTTAGGGCTTTTGTCAGGAAATGGGTCTCTGTGGTTTCGCTGGGGCAGTGAGGCTGTTGTTCAGCACCCGTGAGGGCGGCGCAGCCTGGCATGCAGGGCAGCGTGTGATGCAGCAGCTTTGCAAGAGCGGCCGCTCGCCAGGAGCGAGCCACTTCAGGAGAGCAGCAAACACGGTGGCTGTAAAAGGCAATCGGAATATTGATTCTTTTTACATACAGATAAGCCTGAAGCGGTAACAAACCCAGGGTTTCTTAAAACTGGTGGAAGATTGCTAGGCTGTTTATCAGGCTGGGAGACACAAAGGGATTTCGGATTAAAAGGAATTTCAAAGCATCAGCGTTTACCTCTGTATTCGAAGCATGTGGATGTGTACCACGTTATGTATCGTGTAGCCGCATACATTTTGCAAATACACATTGTCTAGCTGTATGGGATGTATTCATCCTCAGTGTAAGCATGGAAAGCAGCAGAGCTACACCAGAGATGGATTTGCCCAATTAAGAATGATAAAATCAGCCATTGTTCAGGAATCTGCAGAGAGCACGATACTGGCTTGCTGAGGGCTTGCCAGGGAGGCACCTGGCAGGAAAAAGCACCACGTAACAAAACTCAAACCCTTCCCTGTACAAGAAAATTCAGTTCTCTAATTGTTTTTTTCCTTTTTTTTTTTTTTGTCCCAGACAGCGTAACTGAAGTCAAGACAGACATTTACGTGACGAGTTTCGGCCCTGTCTCGGACACAGATATGGTAGGTGCCACTGGCTGGTCGCCTCACAGGGAGGGATGGCTTCTCCTGCACCTGCAGCGGATGTGTCCCACCCTCATACCCCGACGATCTGGGAAAAAGTGGGATTTTCCTAGATTACAAGAACACAAGCAAGCATCCCAGCTACCTGCCCTGGCACGACTGTGCCTCATCATCTTCTCGCAGGCCAGGGGGAGCTCAGTATAGGTGGTAGACAGAGATTGTTTCTCAGGTGCTTTTAGAAACCAATTGATAATACAATCTTGAAGGGTCAATGCCTTTGCACCGCTCAAGCACACTGTAGGCTTTAGGGTCTTTTTTCTTTCCTTAAAGAGCAACCTAATGAAATGGGGAGGTCTGCCCATGGGACAAAGACCTGTACATAGCATTCTCCACCCATTTCATGCTTTGACAAACACCTTCACTGTAGCCGGGAGGGCGCTCCCTGGGAAGTGGGGAGGATGCCAGAATCTGGCCTGTTTTGGTGGCAGTGCCAGAAGAGAACAGTTCACCATCAAACTGTTCTTAGTGCTTGAACCAGAACAGAGGCAAAAGAGAAAAGAGTGAATTGATTGCAATATTTTGACATGTTCAGGGAAAATTATTAATGAAAAGGCCTGAGGTCTGAATTTAGGCTTGTATTCCCACAACAGTTTGTCTTCTAATTAAAACAGGACTGTGGAGCATAATTAATAGTGAGCTTTCTCAACTGAGTTTCTTGCAGCTTGTATTCCACACATGCCTAGGCACACAGAGGAGAGTTGGCTGTTGATGGTTACTGGACATTTCAAGGGTGCTACATGAGGACAGTCATGCGTTCAGGACTGAGACCCTTCTGTGCATCCAGTCCGAGAGGTGACCTGGTGCTGGCATAGCCCAAGACAGCAGTGGGCAGTCCTGGCCTTGGAGGGAGCCCACTTCGGGAGAGGGAGCAGGCATTGCTTTCACCAGCTGAGTCGGGGAGGAGCAATGTCCTGCTGCTCTCACGGCCCTTCCAGAGCTGGAAGGGTGTCATTTACTGTGCTGACATGACCATAAACATCTCTTCAGCTACCTCACTAAGAGTCTTGTGCTAGCAAGTGGAGAAGTTGGGGGAGAATAAAATCTCTGTGTTTCATTGAGGTGCTAGCCCCATTAAGCAACCCCATGTTGCTTTGGAAGGACCACTCCCTCCAAGGTTTGAAGTTAACTTGGTGTCATCATATCCAAGAGTATTAATCTCATCTGAGTTTCTCTCTCTATCTTGCTTGCTTTCCTACCGCAGCGGAGACCCGTAATATATTCAGCAATCTTAGCCTTTGGGGAGTATCTGATAATTACTTCCAAGGTGGAGCATATTTGATTAAGGGAGTGTGTATAATGAACTGTGAAGAAGAAATATGAGGTATTGAAAAGAAGAAGGTATTCTCTGCAATGTGATTTGACAAAATGAATTTAAAATTAAGAAGACAGTTAAAGAATAATAAATTATTTTCCATTTAGTTCCATGTACTTTACAGATGCATCGCAAATGTGTTTTAGCATGCTGTTCTGGTGCTAAATGCACTCAGACGTGTGAGAGAGAGAAACCCCATCTTCTCACGAAGCGTGGGGAGAGCCTGCTCTTCTGTGGTATTTCCTTTCATCTTGGGAGCGGGGAAGTCCCCCCTTCCCCACTCGCATCTGCCTGGTGATCTTGCTCCCATCCGTCCCACAGCCGTTACTCATTGCGATGGAAAGCCGCTCCTGCGCATCTTGATGCAGACAGAGACTGTAATTATGATGATGGAGAAGAGGCAGGTAAAGCTGCTGTGGAGAGCGGAGGAGAGCAGCTGGTTATGAAGCATGAAGGAGGATGTGTACACCTTTTCCCTGAGATGCTCCAAGGGACTTCTAATCTCTCTTTCAGTTTGGTTTGAAAAGTAGAGCCTGATAGGACCTGACATACACCCAGACCTTTGGTAGTGAGCTCTTGCAGCTTTGCCTCAGTCCCCACGAAACGGAGAAAAAAAAAAAAAATAGTTCAAGGCAGTTTTATGTTTTGGTGGATGGACTCTGGAGACAGACTCAGTCTTGATGGTTTTGATGACTTCTTTAAGGTGGAGAACAGCATAATGTAGAACTAAGTGTGCTTCTTGGAAGGGGTGACTTGGGAATGATGCTCTCCTGTAAAGAGGTATAGAAAAGAGGGGAAGAAGCTGAACATGATTTCTCTTTTCTTTGAGAACGATTCTTAGCATAAAAGGAGGAAAACAGGGCCTGGGATGTTATTATAAAAGTTTTGCTTGCTTTTTTTTTTTTTTTTTTAATAAAACCAGGGAGTTCTGAATAAGATATCTCTTCTCCTGATAAGGACTTTTCCCAAACCTACCTCCTGCAACTGCACACAGGCTTGTTCCTTTGTTTTTTTTCCCTTTACTAAGCTTAAAACCACAGAGTGAAGATCACTCCCATGAAGGGGCAGAATATCTTGTACAGAGCCTGTGGGAACACAGGATCTTCTCTTTCCTTCCCCCAGCCAGGCTCTAGAAACTTCACATTTGGGCAGGAGTGGCTCTGTGGCCAGGGGACACGGATGAATTTCTTACCAAGATACTTACATTCAGCTGCCATCTGCTGCAAAACCTGTAGAAATTTCTGTGACCTATAGGAAACTGATGTGCAGCAGTTTTTAAATGCTGCTGAGAAGAGCTGCAGGAAAGAAATCACTCACAATGGTAAGTTTAGTTGGTCCTGCAGCCTCCAGGAACCAGTAAATAAAGACTATGAGTCTGCAACGGCAGGAGAAGAACAGCTGGGTCAGATTTTTTGAAGTCCTCATCTCTCTGAAAGCCTTGTGAGATAATGAGATCCTTCATTAGCAAGAGGAGGTGTGTGTTGTAGAAGTGAGCAGCAGTGGAGCTCATGCTGACAGGCTGAAGACTTTCCCTCAAGTGACGTGACCCCTCAGAGGACACGGGGTGGCTCAGGTTACAGGGAACAGCAGTCCCTTATGCCAGGCACTCAGCAGATTGATTTTATTTTGCCTTGGGGTGGCTGTGGAGCCGTAGAACCTTTGCTGCTTGGTCAAGTGGTTTCTGAGGCTCCCCACACCGAGTGAGGAACTGGCCCTGGCTGCAGGGTTTCAAAGAGATGACTTTTAATTGACCCAACTGAAATTTGGCCTAGGAAATGGGTTTCTACACTTGCTGAAAAAATAAAAAAGAAGGTGGAGGAAAAAAAAAAAAAGATAAGAAAAACAGGGGAAAAAAATGGAAAAAGCAGAAAGAAGAAAAAGAAAACAAAGTCACAGGATCTTGTAAAGCAAGTTTGTGAGGTCCTTGATTGAATGCTTTTCTAGAGGTGGCCTGGGGAAAAAAATAACATTAAGACAGTGTCATGAAACTTTGTTTGTTTGTTTGTTTTTAATGAGCAGGGTTATAATTACCTATATCCTGGCCAAATTCCATCTCCAGGAACTTTATTTTTGCCTTTTTAAATTCCCATGTAGCTGCACACAATAATTCCCTCCTCTGAAACATCTGGATAAAGGTGGTGGTGTAACAGGGCTACCGCAGGACTGGCCACTGTAGGCTGTATTGCAGCTTGTCTGCAGTAGTCAGAAACATTGAAATGCAAATGTTGGCATCCTATGCAAGTCATTATACAAAACGTGGTAAATTCCCTCTATCCTCCACAGATTTCTCCACTGCCATTAATCCCTACATCTTGTTGCATCACGCTTCATGTCAACCAATGTGTGCCAAAACACAGTATGCTCAATGACCAAAGATATTTACCATTTCTTGAAGCAGCTTGTTTGCAATGAAGAGCTGAGTAAAACAAGACTTATTTTTCTCTCCCTTCTCCACAAAGGAATACACGATTGATGTCTTTTTCCGGCAATCCTGGAGAGATGAAAGGCTGAAGTTTGATGGTCCCATGAAAATACTTCCTCTGAACAACCTGCTGGCCAGTAAGATCTGGACTCCTGATACCTTCTTCCACAATGGGAAGAAATCTGTCGCCCATAACATGACAACGCCCAACAAGCTGCTGCGCCTGGTGGACAACGGCACCCTCCTGTACACCATGAGGTAAGTTTGTGTCTCCTGTTCCAGGGTCTTCCAGGTCCCCATACACATGAGGGCAAGGGTGGAACCTCAGGGTACATTACAGCAGGGTTTGTGCAGACTTCCACTGACTGTCTTAGCACACTCGAGTCGTACCCTGCTGCTTTCCCTGCTATCCTTGTTTCCTACCTATGTAGCATCGCTGATCCTCAGCTTAAGCACATTTTTACAGGTAGCTTTTTTCTCATCATTCATGTTAATATTTTTCTTTTATGTGATGAAATAGAAGTGTTGGAATCTATGGTTTGTGGAGTTGGTAGACCACCTGACTTATTTTTGTTCCGGACCTCTGATGGGATATGAAGTCAGGTTTCTGGTATAGGTAGGGGAACATTAGGATGGGAAAATTTGTTGTTCTCCAGCAGCTTGAGAACAGATCTAAATTTGTTCCGCTTCTTATATTGGAGCCATTTGAAGCATCTAATGAGCCCAAGCTTGCTTTTGAGAATGATGTGGGGGTTTTGCCCTACTTCATGGAATCAAAAATCCAAATATGTGTAATCAATGCACATCATTAGTAAAAAAATTTATCTGCTTATTAAAAACTGTGCTTTGGAGGTGTCAGGTGTGGAAAGGCCATTGGAAGTTCTTCTTTTAACCCAGCCCATGTCCCCAGCTAAGCTCTTAGTGGGAGCTGATCATGAGGTAGTCCTGCAGCATGAGACCCCAGGCAGTAATACAGCTTGTGCAACCCCACTGTGAGCTCCAGCAACTGGGACCTTCCTTCTAAAAGATGAGTTGCTGTTGGGGAACCATGCTTGGGCAGTCATCTTCTCTGAATTTCTCGAGAACAGCCCTGGTGTATACATTTATCACTAAGCCACAACAGGTGGAGAGCATGAAGGGAAATGCCTTTGGATTAATTGTATATTTGTTCCGGAACTATTCAGATATTTCTGTATGCTTATAAGCTATTCACCCACATAAATAATGTTTGCCACCTGGGGTTGATGTACTAATTTGCCTTCTGAGGTAAATGGGCTTATAAATGAAACAACAAGCTACTCATAGATGCGCAAGGAAGGTACTGAGTCAGTTTTGGAACAGCATAAATCTTTGTTTTAAAAAATTATTTTCTCTGCCTCCATCTTCAAGCCGATCCTAACTAATAACAGGCTTCACTGTGGTTTTGTGTGCTTAGATGCTGCACTTTCACCTCTGTTTTTTGAGGACCAGATGGAATTTCATCTCTTCATAGTTAAGCTGGCTGTGAATCTACATAGTGTCAGCAAGTTTTACAACCTACATTGATAAACAGTGGTCTGCTTTTGTGCAGCAGTTCCCAAATATGAGCTAATCCTGCCAGTGCCCTGGGGGTTTAGGTCTCCACACATCAGTGATCTCACGTTACTGAGGCAGATGGGGTAAATGAAGGGAGAAGCCCAACTTGAGTTAAGGGCTGGGTTCTGCTCCTGGCTCTCTGACCTGCATGTGGATGACTAACACTCCCCCTGTTTGTATCATTTTCTGACTATAAAGTATTAGAGGAGCTACTGGTATAAGACAGCAAATAAAAGACTCAATTTCAGGGCTTTTATATCATTTCACTTCTTTATTCAGCAAACAGCCATTAGCTTCAGCAAGTTTTGTGTAACTGAGAAAGTATTGGATTTACTTTTCCATTTAGGGCTGGGCAGGTGCCAGGAAGGCAGCATTGCGAGGCTCTTGGGAATGAGTTTCTTGAAGAAAAGGGAGTCATGGGATCTTTTAAATAAATTCAATACATCCTTCAGTTTAGCTCTCTCCCATAAAAGGAGGGAATGAAGGAGAGTCCGGACCTCCCTTTGCGTGTGCTCCTGCCCCCCTTAAATGTACCTTTAAGGCTCTATAAGAGGTGAAGAGCCCACTCAGAGGTACCCAGAGGTTGAGGGTTGGATATGAGGCTTTTTGTCATGTGTTGTATTGCACGGTACCAGGACTTACAGTGCATGGAGATCTTTTCCTTATGCAGCACAGATTGCCGCTGTGCAGATATGTGTGAATCTCTCCTGGTGCAGGGCAATATTGGACCAGCCTGATGCTGGAGATGTGGTTAGAGCTAAGCCAGATGGCCACCTGGAAAGCACTGCCCACTGCACAGGACAGTTTCACACAGCTGACATCCAGCAAAGTGGACATCCCAAAGAGGCACACTCTATCCTGCTGACTATGGAGCAAGTTTGGACCTCCACCAAATTTCCCCTGGACTAACTGGACTGCCCAGGTGATCCCTTGCAGGCTTTGTCTAGACTGAGCCTGGTACATTGCCATGCAGTTTGACTCCTGTGACATATCCTACTCCTTTACCTTGTACCAGCCAATATCCTTGAGGGATCAGTTCTGCTGATGTGCAATTAGAGGCATGTCTCTTGCTATTTATCCTGCTGTGAAAGCCAACTTCTCTTAGTCAAGGCTTACATTTATAGATGAAGTTGCTCTGGTGGAACAGCAACTCTGACACATGCATCCAGCAAAATTACACCTGTGTGACAGTATTTATAGCTCCTGGAGAGAGCCTCTTTATCACTGACCTGAGCTTCAAGGAGTCACACACCAGCTGTAGCTGAGCATCCAGAGATTTCCTTTAGTCACGCCACAGTCTCCTCACGGATTGGTGCAACGTCACGGTGCAAACATCTGATCACTGACTCAGGCCTTGGCACCTGGGTGACAAGATGGCATTTGCAACCGCAGCACAAAATTACATTCCACCTCCTTCTGGCTGCTGAGGAAGGGACAGGATTACTGATGCCTTCGCTTCTGCCCTGTTACTCCAGCTGCCTTAGAGGCCAGGGGGAACACAGTTTTATTATGTAGAACTGCCTCTGCTGTCTTGTTTGTGGAGCTCCTACAAGATCCAAGTAGTTCACAAAAGCCGAGTTAGGGCCTCAAAGCTCTGGTGTCAGACCCAAGTACAACAAACTGGGAATTGTGCGTGGATTTGAATAAAGTACAGACAAAAACTCAGCTGCTGTAGCAATCTCTGGATGTACTCTCTGGCTTGAGTTGTGTGGGGCACACAGATAATGTTCTGGTTCTTCCTGGCCACAGAAGCATATGAAAATAGTGAAAGCTTAATGCTGTGCCGATGGGATTCAACTTTGTGAATCCAGGCGTTAAAGAGCTCTCATGCACTTCACAGGCACTGTCAGAGTGGCATGTTGAGGCTTTGTCGTTATTGTTAGAGTGGTTCTCAGACAATATGTGCTCAAGTTATGCACTTAAAGGATGTTTTCTTTAACTGCCAGGCTGACACATTCAGCTGCATGCCCAAAGACTTTGCCTCAAGAACCCGTATTGCTCAAGACAACGTGAAGTCCTTAGTGGCAGTGCACAAGCGGTTAGGAAGGAGGGTTGGTGAACCCCTGGGTGAGGCAGAGGTAGAACGGGAGGGAAAGCTGAGTGCAAAGGCACCCAGGACATGTGCAGTACTACCAGGGCTGCAGAACCCAAGATAGCGAGTCCTGTACCACCTGCGGCATGCTCAGGGGATTGAGGTTCCCAGCCTGCTTTTTGAAATCATGCAGCTTCTTAGTGTCTCCCAGCAAAGGCTTTGGGTTGTCTACTGCCTGTTTTTTTAACCCCCAGGCAACTTGTGAGAGCTGTAGGCTGGAGCTCACAGAACCCTTCCAGACTATGGAGGTGCAACTATCATTCTCCTTTCTGCAAGAGAAGCAGCTGGGACATCCCAGCACCAGCTCCTCTGGGTAGTACGGACTGGCAGCTATTTGGCTGCATCCCACATCAGGGCTGATCCTAGACAACAGCATAAATGGACCCGAGCAGACCAAAACTAGATTGCTAAACATGCAAGCAGACAAATAGACAAGATGAGATTTGCATAGTCTGCTTTTCCCTGCCTTACAGATTCCAGGGGCAGAAATTATCTGTTTTGCAGGCTTGGTTTTATTCAGGCAGACTTTTGTAAGGAAGGTGTCCCAGGAGGGAGAAATCTTCAGAGATCACCTTATCACACTGCATTTCTGCCATCATGGGCTGAAATCTCCAGGGGCTGGGGGAGGATGCAAAGTGAATTCAGTGCTTTCAGATCCAGCACAAGGATCTTAAAGGCAATTTGGCTTTCAATCTCAAATCCCAGCAATTAAACCTAACCTAGATTCTCACACAGCCTAAACCGTAAACACTGTTTGGCCTGACTGTGGTTATTAATGAATCTTCTAGAGGAGAAATCAGGACAAAACTCAAGCAATGTCCCTGGCATAAACAAAGTCAGTTCTGCTGTGCAGGATGCTGTCGTGTTTTTGTACCACACATACACCAAGGGATTATTACATTTGTGTCCCAGAAATTGGATGGAGACTCTCGCTCATCCTGCAGCACGACGCAGGTAACGACAGGGGCTCTAATGACACATCAAAGGCTTTGCTAAGCTCCTGGTAACCATGAGAACGAAGCTGAAGTGGTTTGTTGTACTGTCAGCCCTGGGAGAGGTATGTTTAGCCTGATTCACACTCCTTGCTATTGTGCTGAGCAGTTCAAAGGACTTCCCGTGACTTTAAAGAGGAAAACATGGTTACTTTCCTGGATGTTCCACTCTTGGTGCCATTGTGCCAGCAAAGTGAAGAGAAAACACGAGGAGTTTGGGGGTTGATTTCAAGACAGTTCTACGTAAGTTATTGATAGCACCTGGGACAGATGAGCTAAAGGATACAACAGCTGGATTATGTGATTGCTGGCAGCTTGGCTGTTTTTCACATGCTGTTTAGGCTTTGTAATGACATTGCAGGGCTCGTGTGTCTGGACCTGAACAGGGCATCGGAGCAATGAAGCAAACTGCTGTGGCTATCTGGCCATAAGCTCCCTTGCAAAGGTTAAGGGGCAAAGATGAGAATTTCTGCAACATGCTCTTTTACCCAAATGCTGCACAGGCAGTGGTAATTGCCTGGGAAGCGAGATACATTCCTCTTAGTTTGACATTTTGACGTTTCATTAGGCAAAGCATATGGTGCTGAGGAGTCCTTCACCAGCAACAGGTGGTGGAGGGGGAGCAGAAGGGGAATGTGGGCACTCTCCTGAGCGGTGATTGATTCCACAGCTCACCTACATACCTCTGCTAATTAGCCTTCTGAAAGATGAGTGTGTGCAAGAGAGGCTGCAGGAGGCAGGTGAAAGATGGATGAGGGATTCAGAGGGCGGGGGGTGAGCAGGAGCGAGCAGCAGTGCATGCACTCTGGTCATGGGGAGAGCATCTCAGGGAGCCGGCACATCCCAGCGTGCGCGGGGGCGAAGCAGAGGTTTTGGGCAAGGGAGAACACCTGGGTGGGGGAATGCCTGTATTGCTTCCCTCTTCAGCAGGGAAACCGACTCCCTTCGTGTGTTATCTGTGAACGTGATGACTTTTGGCTGGCTGAAGTTACTGAACCAGATTAATCTTGCTGGAATGATGTGGCATTTTCTTTTTTATTTAATTTCAGGAGACTTAAAAGGTCCTTAAGTTGTAGGTGGAGAAGTGGAAGATTAGGTTGCTTTTTCAGTGGTTTGTTGATGGATTTATTGTGTTGTTTACTGGATCAGCTAATAAAACACACTTTAGATTTAAAATGTGACTGCTGCATTCCCACATACCTACAGAGTCATCCAGCATCCATATAAAGTTGCCTTCTTCTCTTGACAATACTCACTCTTGTTGGCCATGGCCTGGAGAGGGTAGGAGGGTATGGCCAAGACCAGTTTTTGCCCAGCTGGTCTCTGCTGCCATCCTGGCACCCTCTGAGGCTCTTTCTGGCTTCTCTAAATGGCACTCAACCACTGGACCCACAATCTGCAGTCCTTTGAGTCGTTCAGCCTTATTCATAGTGGCTGTTGATCACAGCCAAAACTTGCACACAGTACAGTGGATGAAAAAGGCCTGTTTTTTGGGAGGAGTTCAGGCTACATCAGAAGGAACACACAGAACAGAGGAGAGGTCCTTTGGAGAAGCCGACTTTGGGAACACCCGGCTAAGAGCCTTTTGTAGTAATAAAGTAATTAATGAAGTCATCAAAGGAATAGGAAGGTAAAAAAGAAAAGTCTTGGGTGGCCTGCTGAGGGAGGCAGGGGAAAAGCATCGGCATTTCCTCTACACAAGTGTCAGTAATAAATATTAGAAGCAAAAAGCCCATTGCAGTTGGAAAGGACACAGAAAGAATTGAAGGGTAAGATTTGTGAGGACATGCTTGACAAACTTGCCAGCCATGGAGCTCCCCAAGTAAATTTTGAGCTGATAGAAGAAAACATCATAAAAGAAATAGAACAGGAGGAGCAAGGCTGTTGAGTCCACACCTTGCTGTCAGGTTTTCTTGAAATCCTAATCTTTATCCAGATTATGAGAGGCAAAGGAGCAGTTTGTTCATGGTGGCCTTTGAGTGTCCAGAAGATCATTCCAACAATGTGCTTGTAGGCTTATCAAAATCACTGTCAGTCTTTCCATTGACTTCAATGAGTCTGGGTTGAAGTCATAAAGATCTGGTCTTCTTCTCTATCATGTAAAATGAGTACATTCAGTCCAGAGGTGAAGGAGAGATGAGCAAGTCAGAAAGAGTGATTTGTTTCCAAGGAAGTTACACTGGCCACACCGTGGTTCTTGGGTTGGCTGAAAAAGCCAAGCTGGGACCAGGCATAATGCCAGTGGGACAGTCATCATCACCTCTTTGTCAGTAGAATGATTACTACAGGACAGAGTGGTCACTACCCATGTACGTGGATTCAGAAAGGATTGGCAGACTCAGAGTAGAAAAGGTCCTTGGTCTCTGGTGCAGTCAATCGCCTGCATAGCACCTTGGAATCATGGAAGCTGTAAGCCACCAGCTGCCAGGAGACAACAGCAAGGTGTGGTTTGCTCTGAATTTACCCATGTTTCGTACTTCTCTGTAAGTATTCACTGGTCTCCTCCACTGGAGGTGGAGTCAGCCTTCATAGACCCAATAAATCCACTGTGATTAACCTGGCCAGAGCACGGAGCATTGCATCAGCCGTGGCTAGGCTGTGAGCCCTTGGGACCCAACAGTGAATGGTGACTCTGCTGCCAGCCCATCAGGGCTTCAGTGCAAGTAGTCCTCATGGGGTGTACGAGGACAACGTCCTGCTTATGCTGAATAGCTAAGAGCTGGTTTTGTGGGACTTGCTTTTATAGTTTTTTTTTCCTCCTGTGAGGTAGCTTCTGGGGCACAGTGGGGTGGATGTGCCCAGTGGAGACAGGAGTGGTACCTGTCACTGAAAAACTGCAGAAATGAATGTGAGCTGCTGTTGCATTAAGGAGCAGAGAGGTACCACTGAAACACTGTGGGGCTGCGTTCAGAACATCTGCAGGAAACTCACTGCTTTCCTTTGCTAGCTGGTACACAAATAAGGCGTAGACTTCCCCATGGTGCAATCTGCTCTGCGGCACTGCAACCCAAGTGACCATTGCCACCTCCCAGACATTCCCAAAGGCTGGTTAAACTGGGATTTAAACCTCTGCTGTGGGTGCTGAGGGGGCTCTGGGTCATGCAGGAGGGTTTTGGCCACCCAGCCCTGCCCCATCAAAGTCACATCTCTGCTCCTCCACTTCTTGATTTAATGCTTCTGCCTGTCTCTTGCAGGATGCCAGTTTTCCTAGACCCTCTAAAAGAAGCAGATGAGGCTGGATGTGGGTCTGAAATCGCAAGGTCCATTTCCTCATCTGTCAGAGCAAAATTCACAGCCAGCAGTTTCCAGTGCAGCCTGGGCTGCCCTTGCAGCCGACACGGAGCAGTTTTGTGGAAATTTGCTGCTGCTCCATCCCTCATTTGTGCTGGTGTCTGCCTGCCACAGCACCATCTGTTGCCGGCAGCCACCATCACTGCAGCCTCAGAGATCCTCTGCCACCTCCAAGCCACAATGCTTCTGCTTTGTTTCCCCCACAGAGGTTTTTAGAGAGTGAAGTGCTTGGTTTTGTCCACCAAATATTTTATGCCAAGTTTTAAAAACAGTCCTCTTTTTTTTTTTTTTTTTTTTTTGTAGAATCATATAAGGTGTGTCCACCTGAAAGAAATAACCGTTATTTTAATTTTCTTTCCTTTCCTTATTTTTTTTTCTTGTTTGCTAAAAGCAAAGAAAATCTGAACCCTTTATTTTTCTCAAGGTTTGTTTTGCATTTGACTAAGCCTCAATATTTTCTGTGAAAAATAACTTACCTAAGCATTTTTCCAGCTGAAGGAAAATATTTCAATAGAAGCTTTCCACTGTGCTCCTTGACCTGAGTTTTCCACAAGCCACCTTCAGCCTTAGGTCTGTGCACTTGCCCTTTGCATCCATCCACCTGTTGCTTCTGTCATGGTTTATTTGTTATTTTGCCAAGCTATCAGAAATGGGTCATTTTTTCTACAAATGGTTCCCTCCGAGAAGATTGTATTAGATGTCTCCAGGGAAGCTGTCTGTCCTGGCTCCCCCTCCTGGGCTGCAGGCTTCGCAATACTTCAGGAAGGAACACGAGCTTGGAGCTACCTTTTTTAGGTTTTTATAATGGATCCTTTTATGCCTGGTCCCATGTTCTGCAGCACACTGCTTTTATGGTTGTGCCTCCCTCACAAAACAGCTTTCTGACAAAGTATCCTACTGGGATTTGGTGGATGCATAAAGCTCACAAGTTGTCTTGCACCCCCCCCCCCCCCCACACACAGCCCCAGGACATGCAGTTCTGTGTCTGTGCACAGCATCCTCTGCAGTGCCACCAGCGAGGGAAGAGCTGGGGGAGGTGGGGCGAGGTCTCTTACATGCAGAGGGTTGTGTTGTATGCTGGTGCAACACCTGCGACTTCATGGTTCTGACTGACTTTGTTCAGCAAGCCCAGTAGTGCTGTGGCCTCCTGACTGAACAACCTGCCAGCCCTTGGATCCTTCCAGATCGCCAGGAAGAACAGACCATGTTCCCTGGAAGCTATTTCCTTCTGCTTTCCAGCATGGTCTGTGAGATGTCCCCTGGCGCCAGGCATTAACAAGCTCTTTGTGCACAGTGCATAAGCAAACAGAAACATTGGGCTTTGACAGATTTTCTGATTGCACTGAGTGGATAAAGATGAACTCAGTCAATAGGGTTGAGTTTATACAATGGGAAAGGTTGCCAGACCTGTGTGCCTGCTGTTCTCTCCACAGTTGATGGCCTTCTGCCCAGAGACCCAGAGGTTAGTGACCACATTGAGGCCTTTGTTGCCTTTGATGGATGCAGGGCAAAGATGCTGTGGCAGAAGGGCCAGGTGGGAGCCTCCACAGCCATATGTTTCTGATCATGCCCTGTGTTTTGTCTTGTAGGCTAACGATTCATGCAGAGTGCCCCATGCACCTGGAGGACTTCCCAATGGATGTGCACGCCTGCCCACTGAAATTTGGGAGCTGTAAGTACCCTGGTCATCCTCTGCAAGGAGGTGGGTACAGAGCTAAAGAACAGTCCTTTGTGTGGCTGGTGTTTTCCAGGATTTTATTAACAGTGTTATTAATTACTGCTAATGATAATGTGGCCAAAAATCTGTTTCTGGTGTCTCATACATGCAATTCCTACCATCATCAGAAATGGGCAGCAAGCCAGTCTGTGGTCAATTCAGGCTCACAGCATGAGCCTATGGTTTTGCTGTAAGTTTATTAGGGAAGTGGGAAGTGCACCTTCTCATTGCCTTCTCTGACTTCAGTGGGCAGTGCTGCCCCTTCAGCACTGCCTCAGCAGGACCAGCATTGGTGGAAAACCCAAAGATGTTTTGCTTCATCACAAGGTGATCCTGTGGGGATTTGGGAAGATAGCAGTGGTGTCTGCTGCTGTGTGTCTTGTTCAGCTTCTCTACATCATTCCTGCTAACCTGGGGAGAGCCTGAAACCTCTGGTTGCTCTGGCTCCATGCTCTAGTGGAGCTTTCAAACCCCTTGCTCCTCTTCAATCTGTCAGGCAGGCTGCTCTCAAGTAAAAGTCTTGGAAACTCTTGGAATCATGGTCCCAACGCCAGAAGGTCCGGGTTTAGGGAAGATCTGCAGGCTGCTGGTGAGTTGAAAGCTGCTCCCAGCTTCCCAGGCTTGCAGCTGCTCATCTGCCTGGGCTTCCCATATCCTGCCTAGAAATAAATTACCTCTTCTCTCCTATACGTAAGTTAAATTTCCTTGTGTTTTGTTCCTAAAGTGAGTGGGAACCAAATTTCAAGCCACTGGTTCACCATAATGTGGAAATAAATTCCCTAGTCCTGCTCTGTCTGGAGTCTCCTCCAGGACCAATGAACTGAGCACCACACTCAGTCTATATTTGCATTTGATGGAAGAATTACCCACCTCCAACAAAAGAATGAGCCCCCACTAGTAATCTCCCTTTTGGACTCTAAGAAAATGGAGAAAACACAACCTTTCTAAACTGATACTTCCTTCCTGTAGCCATTTGGGAGATAACTAAGGAGAAAGTTGAAAAGTTTGATTGACACCAGAAGAATTCATGTTTATCACATGCATCTGCTCCTTTGCCTCATGACAAAATGCATCCATGAAAATGGATTACTCAAAACTACTAAAATAAAGTTATTTCTTAGGCAGCACCTAATTAAATGTAGAACTCATTGCCACAAGACATAACTAAGGCCAGTAAAATAGCAAGCCTTAGAGAAGGGTAAATTATTAATGTTAATTGACCTTGTAAGGAAGGATATAAAATCTCATACCTCAGGCCTAAACTCTGGGATTATTACAAGACTTGAAGGAAGGCAGATTACTCCACATCTAATTGCTTATTATGTTTCTTGGTGAAGAAAAGAAATTAATGTGCTGGAATTATTTCTGCTGGAACACCCTTTGGGGTTCTTCTGGGTATTTTTACTGATCTGGACTCTCAGTGATGGGAGTTTTGATACAAGCAGCTCAGAGAGCTGTCCCTGATAAACGTTACTATGGCTCTTTCTAAAGCACCCATCCACATAGCATCTTGTGTTGGAGTAGGATTAAACTAATGTTTGCACCAAATAGCTGTTGACAGCTGGAAGCTGCTCATTTGCAAGAAGCTTAGAGTGGAACAGATTTGTAAGTAGAAGGACAATTCCAAGGCCAGACATGTGCTGTTCAAAGGATAGGCAAATCTGCCTCAGTGACCACCTTCCAGCGATGCCCACATCCTGAATGGCTCATCAGCGGTCTCCTGTCCTGTGCCACCATGGCAGCCACCCAAAGAGGGAAGGCAAAGTGCTTGCAGGAGAAGTAAAGGCATCATGCATTTCAGATAGCTTCAGCTGCCCACCTGCATCATTCCTTGGACCAAGTGCAGTGAAGGTGATGGCTTTACCTATCACTGTGCTCTCTAGAAGATGGTTGTACGCATCAGGGAACAACTGTTTCTAAGCCAGTCATAGGACATTTGTACAGCAGCTGTCTGAGACTAGGCTAGCAGAAGATGTTGCTGAAGTTACCAGCTCCACTAAGTGTCCATGTTTGAGTTGGACTAGACTGCATTGCAAATGAGGTATTGAGCAGAACCAAAACAGCTTCATGACATTAAATATATTCCAAGCATCCATGCCATGCTTATGTGACACCAGATACACTTCTGTCCCAGACCAGTTATGTAGACAACTGCGTCTCCAGGGATGATGACAATGAAACTGGGGGCAAGTTTGCTTTGTAGACTGAGAATGGCAGTGGGTGAACCATGGCTGCTAGAGCAGAAGCTGCTGACCAGCAAGGTGGAAGAGCATTGGCAGAGCTGTACAAACCTAAGTCTGGAGGATGGAGGTCTCCAGAAGCTTGTTGAGAGCTGGAAGGAAGGGTTGGAAAAACAGTGGTGCACATCAAATGAGAGAAGTGCCAGCTTGCATCAGAAGTGCTTAGGCAGCACGCTGGTATGCTAAGAAACATTGGCTGATCATCAAAACCACTCCCCACACTTTGCATAGTGCCTGCTTAGTATTTAGCAGGTTTGCCAAAACCTACAGTGCAGGGATAAGAGTGGTTGTTTTAAAAAGATCAGAGAAATTCGGTTGTCCCAGGACACAGTCTTCCACAGAGCAGGAGCTGAGACATTTCTGTAGTAGACCTGACCCTAGCCAAATAATTCTTTAATGTCTTAATTGGAGAAGCTAGAGGTAAAAATTAATTAAAAACTTGTTCTAGTGAACTAAAAAATTGGTGCAGAGTGGGTATGGACAGGGTATGGGGAGAAGTAGCTCCTAGTAGTCTGGAGAGACTCAATTTCTGGATACCATAGGACTGGCAAAACCAAGAGCATGCAGGCCCTGTTGAGAAAGGGAGTGGCTCTGAGGACAAGCAGGGGCTTGGTGACAAAGACTTGTGAAGGTGATGGTGACTCTTTGTTAGAGAGAGGTGTTTGCATATGGGGAGTTGGGCAGGTGGGATAAAGAGGGGAGCTTTCAAGCTCCTGGAAGGATGCCCTGGCCCTGAGCCTGGCACTACCCCACGCAGCAGCCCAGTGGCACTGGGCTGTTTCTCTTGCCATGTGCAGGCAGGCTCTTCTCAGCACTGCCCTCCTTTGCTGCCTGGCAGGTTGGCCTCGAGGCTAGCAAACACAGGGTCATGCAGGGGAGAAAGCATCTTGGTGGGAGGGCACACCACCTCCGAAGCTGAGAGGGTTGCTCCTAAGTGAGGGTAAAGATTTTTCACTTTTTCTCCTTAGCCTAAAATTCAACCCCATTTGCATTTAGCCTTTCTCAGCAGCTGCTGCCAGCATGACTCTTCTGGTCCCTGGCATGGCGGGGCTGTGGCTGTCCCGCTGCCCCATCTGGCTGCCTTCCTACTGTGTCTCTGCTTGGAGTCAGCCCTTGCGGAGTCAGCACATCAAGGGGACAGCATGTCTCTCAATGACAGTGCTCTGCCCACTCTTCCAGCTCCCTCCCGAAAACCCCAGTTCCTTTTTGCTCATTTGATTTAACAGTTGCTGAACTGCCTTGGTCTCTGGCCGTGCTTGACTGTGCTTAGTGATGTGGCTCTGAGGAATGCACAGCAAGGATTAATTTGGCTACAGGCTAATTCTGGTATATTTTAGGTCAGGCGGAAGCACAAACCTCATTTTTCTTTCTCCTCTACAGATGCCTACACAAAGACAGAGGTGATCTACACCTGGACACTGGGGAAGGATAAATCAGTGGAAGTAGCGAAGGGTGGATCTCGCCTGAACCAGTATGACCTTCTGGGCCATGTTGTTGGGACCGAGATGGTTCGATCCAGCACAGGTACTCGTGAGACCACGATGCGATGCATGGACTGAGCACACTGTCAGATGAGATGGACCCATGGGCTCTGAATGCCATGATCTGGCATAATTATAGAGGCAGTACCTGTGGTCAGTGAGCACCACAGGACTTCCCAAGCCATGTGCTGTTGGAAAATATGGCTGGGGACATCTGGAGCAGTCACCAAGAGGCAGTGAAGGTTTTAACTTTCAGTGGTTTCCACTGAAAGAGCCTTATCACACATACCCTCTAGAAAACTGATTTCTAGCATCTAAAAATGATCTGTTGTGTGGAAAATTTGCCCCACCTTGCCCAGCTGGTTCTTGGTACTGCCGATTCATTTGTCTTGGATCCCTTTCCAGTCCCGCAGGGAGAGCACTGCGGGCAGGGGAGGTGAATGGAACATAATGTTCAGTTTGATTTTCACTGCATCTTCTTATACAAATATTATCACAGCTAATAGAAGATTATCCCAAACAAATGTTTCCTCTGATTAATGACCAATATTAATCATCTTTCTCTCCCATCTGCTGGTCCTCCCTTCCCCTCTGAATCCAGGTACTGATAGTTTCTGTTATCTCATGTGCATGTCTCATCCTTCTTTTTTTCTTTTCTTTGTGGTTTTTTTTTTTGGTTGTGGTTTGGTTTTGTTTTTTTGTGTTTTTTTTTTTTGTTGTTTTGTTTTGTTTTGTTTGTTTGTTTGTTTGTTTTTGTTTGGGTTTTTTTTGTTTGTTTGTTTTTGTTTTTTCCCTTCTGTGTGCACCAGTAGTTCTCTCATTTGAGGATATTTCCTCTCTGGTGCACTTGATTTTAATAGTGTCTGTCTGTTACAACTCTTAGCACCTCCCTTGGGGAAATGTGGGGAGTCCAGGGAACTAAATGTCATAATATCTGGCCCATCTCTCTACTTAAGTTCTAGTAAAATATACAGATGAATACCTGAAGTGGCAAGAAAGCTGCTAAAGGCTCCTGTGTGCAGTGATTTAGCAAAGCCATGCTCACAACAAAAAGGCATGATAATCCAACAAAATATCCAAAGCTTTGAGTGGAGGAATAGGGTATTGAAGGAAAATAGGGACAACTGCTTATTTGGTTTACAGCCCAGACCTTTAACAACAGAACTTGCCCTGAGTTTTGACATGGTTACAGAGAGGAAAGGTGGAATGTTTTCAGGATCATCAGAGAAAATAAAATCCTTTGTCCTGAAATCCTACTGAAACACTGTTAGAGTCCCTCTAGGCTTAAAGGATCTTATCCACAACATGTCTTCCTGGGCTGGAGCAGAAAAGAGATGGGAGCTGGGTCAGGAGACACCCCCAGAGATGTCTGGTACCTGGGGTGAAACAGGAAAAGCTTATTGCCCTGTTGTTTATTGGCATTGATTTGTCTTTGTCCCACAGCTGTTTTCTAGTGAACTAATGAAGTCTCCAGAGAAGTGTTTTAAAAGGACGGATGCTATGTGGAAGTCACCCAGGGTACACTGGGGCACGTGCCTGGCGTGGCACAGTAGTGGGGCGTGTGTGTGCAGGACGTGCAAAGTCAGTGCCGACGGTGTGCTGCAGCACGCATCCCTCCTTCGCACGGCTGCTAGGGTGGCCTGCAGTACTGTAAGGTACCAGGGCATGCCAGCCGGTAGCAATAGGACACACACACTGCAATTCCATCTAAGAACGTGAAGATTTGTTCAGGACAGATAGATCTTCAGTGTTTTAGAGATGGATTGGTGGTCAGTTGGCCCCATCCTGGAAAGCACTGGCAGCTCAGTGTCTCTAACCGGCTGTCTCTTCAGGGGAGTATGTCGTCATGACCACACACTTCCACCTCAAGAGGAAGATCGGGTACTTTGTGATCCAGACCTACCTACCCTGCATTATGACGGTCATCCTGTCCCAGGTCTCCTTCTGGCTTAACAGGGAGTCTGTTCCTGCCCGAACGGTTTTTGGTGAGTCTGGGAGCACAGGGGCATCTTTCTCAGGTTGGGGGACAAAGGCACCACAAATGGCAGGAAATAGACTGAGCATCAGAGCTGGTCTTCTCCAGATCTTGACCAGTGCCAGTGAAGCTGCTGGCCCTTTCCCAGAATAGCTCTCAGTGTCTTCCCAGTGCCCCTGCTTCCACTGAATCACTGAAAAAATACTTCTGTCCATGTTTCTGCTACCAGCCAAGCCATAAATATTAACAGTAATCAAGGTATTGATCATCTAATTATATGCATTTGGCTGTGTCTGCTTATCTATATTGGCTTTTGAGTTAAGGAGAGGATAAGTACATGGGGAAGCATTTAAAGCTCTTCGTTTGAAATTGCTGATGTGCCCCTGGTCAGAGCTCCACATAACTAGTTCCTGGGCTGAGGCAGTATAACGGCATGATAAACATACTGTTATTATTTTCTTCAGCTGGTTTCAGATCTTGTTTCAAAGGCAAAGTGTCAGGCTGGCATTGCACATATATTAATAGCTTTTACAAACATTTAATAACAGAATTGCTTTGTGCTTTCCTACCAAGACCTTTAGTTCAGGATCTACATACACGTGTTCACAGACAAGGTGTGATGCTGCAGGATTGTATTTCCTGGAAATAACAATGCCCAGCAGATACCACTTAACAGAGAGTATATTGGACAAAAGACACCAAGCAGAGAGGGGATACATGGTACTACCTACGCGTGGTTTTGAGTAAGACAGAAAGTGGTGTGGTTTCAAAGATCATGAAGTATTTTCTCTGTAGGAAGAGTTGTGATAGAAATACTCCCACAAACCCATGAAGGCTGATATCCTCCTTTCCGGAACTTCTCTTCAGGCCTGGACCTTGTTCCCATGCTGTGGACTAGAATGGGATGCAGGGAGGGTCACAGGTGGTTCTGCACCATCCTAAATGAACTAGAAAGGAATCATGGTTTTTGTGTTCACTGGGGCTTGTGAAATGTAGGTCATGAACAAGCTTTAAAATTTACAGTTGACCCCAGCTTCTCCCTGTTAGCATCAGGTTGCCTTCCCTGGTGAGGCAAATCCTACGGCGATCCCCAAGGTGGAGTGCAGCTGTGAGGAGCTGAGCAGATAGTATGACCAAACTGGTTTGCCCGATCCAGACTGCATGAGCAGCATCGAACAGTGATAACAGTGACAAAGAGGGGGTACAGCCCCTTAACACCCACTTTTTGATGTTTTCATCCAAGAGAATGGAAAAGAGGGGGGTTCAGACAGAAATCACGTGGAAAATAGGACCATATAGGACCAGGCATATAGAGAGTCATCAGTGAACTTTCCTCACTCATCTGTCTGTGACTCATTTGCAACTAAACCCCACAGAGTCCACGGCTGGACCCCATGTCTGCCCATGCCCCACGTGGGCTCTTACATCTGCACTGGTTCTGGAGTGCCTCTGCATTCCTGACAATGGGGGTGAGCCCTTCTCTGAGGATATTTGATTCCCTCCTGTTATCCTGAGATTTGCAATTAGATGTGTTTCCTCGAGTAGCAGCTCAGATCGAGGAGGAAAGAGCTGACTGAAAAATTAAAAGCTACCTTTGTGAAAAATGTCTTTGCTCCCAAATTGCCTTGCTTTCCTATTAAGAAAATAATGAGAACTCCAATTGTTTATTCCTTTTTTTTGCCCCTCAGAAAGTATTGTCAACAGTATTATTGAAACTCTTCAATTACCAGGAGTATGGCTTAAGGGAAGTGAAAATTAGTCAATATTTTTATAATGTTTTTAATCCATTTTTAATTGAAAAGCACATTATTGGGGTAAATGGATAGCAATGGTTGCTTGCCTTAATGAAAAAAGCTTTAAAAAGCGTTTTGCAACAGATCATTTTTAAAAGATAAATCATTGTGACACTCATTCTAGCAGCTTGAGCCACTGGCGGGTGCCTGGCCATGCCAGCAGGACCCAGGATCCCAGGTTTCCGTCCAGACGCTATTTCCAAAATGTTGAGAGAACCACACTGGATGAGTGGCAAGTTTCTGGTCCTCCATGGAGTTCCCAACCATCTAGCTGACCTTCTTACTGTTATTTTGTTATTTTTATTTTATTGCAAAAGCAACCAAAGGCTTCTCCATGGCATTTTCTACATGAGAGAGCTGGGTCTAGCATCATACAACTTACCCTACTAGCAGATGAGGAATTAAATGCGGGTGCCTACCTGTAAGCTAGGACTCTTTTATATTGAGCAGAGATCTAGTCAATGGAGTTTGGGGAAGATTAATCTCATCCTAATGCAGCTGTTTGCCACTGATTATATGAATTGAAGATACACAAAACTGAACCAGAGAAGGCCCTGACCAACCTGAAGTTGGCCCTTATTCGAGCAGGGGTTGGACAAGCTGATTTCCCTTCCAACCTGGACTGTTAAGTTATTCTATGAATTGCACCACAGACCTTGTGCTGGGTAAGGCTCCCTTAATTATAGTGGGAATGTGGGCCACATGGCTTAGAGAATGGCTCCTAAATTTACATGATGGAAATGCCAATTGTGTGGTTTGAGGAGAAGCTGAGTGGGTACGAGTGTGTGGTCTCACACCATCATTGTCTCCTGCTGTGTTTCCACAGGTGTCACCACCGTCCTCACCATGACAACACTAAGCATCAGCGCAAGAAACTCGTTACCTAAAGTGGCGTACGCGACGGCCATGGACTGGTTCATAGCCGTCTGTTACGCCTTTGTGTTTTCTGCGCTGATCGAATTTGCCACCGTCAACTACTTTACCAAGCGCAGCTGGGCTTGGGATGGCAAGAAGGTGCTGGAGGCCCAAGAGATGAAGGTCAGCTCTGTGGCCAAGGCCGGGGAGGAGGGGGTGGTGAAGAAACGCTGCACAAGAGACCTGCGCCGGGGCCAGGAGTGGGTAACATGCAGCCCTGCAGCACTCCGGGTGGCTGGATGCTACTTACTGGGGTCCCCAGCTCAGGTCTCGACTGGAGCGGTTCTTGAGGGCCAAGGGAGGACAAGCTTGGAGGGCTGGTTGCTGTGCTTAGCTGGAGAACACCCAGGCATGACTGCTCACTTTTTCCTCTGTTTTTCTGCACGACCATTTGCCGGTGGAAATGTGAATGCGTGCATGTTTTGGTCTTGCTCTGCCAGTGGTCTCCTCCCTCCTTTCTTCCCCCTCCAACTCATAAATGCCCTGCTCCATGTTCCTAGCATGCCACACAAACCCAAATATGCCACGCCAATGAAGACGGTCCCGCTCCACTGTGTCCCCTGTGGCTAGTATCCCCTGGCATGGGCAAGCATGGTGCAGCCATGGGGACATCTAACGCTCGTGCTGTTGCCCACAGCTGCTGGCAGCTGCTGCTTTGTAAGCTTGGGCAAGGAGAGTGGGTGGGAAGCAAGCAATCAGAAATGGCAACTGGCAGTAAATTAGGGCCTGGCATCACACACAGTTTCCCTTCTCACTCGGGATCAGCCTCTCTGGCAGCTTTCTTCCTGACAGCCACCGCTACCCCTGCTCATGTCCCCTCCCTCCTAACTGATTTAATCTCGTCTGCGCAGAAAAATCGCTTACTGTAGCACGCTGCTCCTTGTTTATATTTATTGAATCAATTTGAAAATCAGCTTTGTCCTTGTTCTTGGTTCTGGAGCCTTTATATTTTTCTCCTTTGCATTTTAATGTGTTGTTTAAAATTGTTGTGATGCTGTGTGTAAATACGTGGCAGAATTGCAGTAACTTTTGGGAAGACAACAGCCAGTCATCTCTCTGGTATGGAGGTCAAAGCAGGAGAACAGAGGCCTTATGGAGAATCACAGCCATCACTGGGTGTTGAATGCCTCCCTCATGTGTTTCTTGGACTCTCTCTATCTGCTTTTGCAGCTGTGGTCTGAGCAACAGACTCAGGGCAGAAAGGCTCCAGAGGAGGCCAGTTGATGGTCTTCCACTTCCATCATGAACAATAACTCTAATCTCGCCTCTAGAGATGAGAGAAGCCTTCCCTGGGTCATTGGCATGAGGAAAGGATCAGAACAGGTCCTCAAAGCAACCATGTCCCTTTCAGGGTTGGGAAAATCAGCACAAAGTCAGGATTCACACAGCCTTGGGCAATTACGTGAACTGGGTGCAGCCAGAAAACCAGCAAAGGCTCAAGAGCTTCAGTCTGTCATGGAAGAAGCATGCTCCTCAATTTATTCATTGATCCAGCACTGCAAGACTAACAGTGCTGAAACAATAGGGTAAGAGCATGCACAATGTTTGTGTACATGGTAATCGAACAAGAAAACAAAGCAGGACCAGAAATGTTTCAGAGAGAGTGCTTTATGTGAGTTTGCTGCAATTGATATCAGGCTGGAGAATCAGGAAGGACTCCGAATTCGTGGATGTTTTTTCAAGCTAACACTGATTTTTATTAGAAGGCTAACCCACTCCCAGCCTCTGGAGCTCAGAGAGTTCCCTGAAGAGTGGTGGGCTTTCAGGGAGCTTGGGAATACGATGTGTCACTGTATTTGTTTTTCATCTTTATTCCATTTAATATTTCCAAGCAGTGAATTTGCTACACAATGAAGGTGCCTCATTGGCTCAGTTTCAGCCTTTAATCAGCTCTTCTTGAAACAATTGACAAGCCAGGTTGTTGAAACCGCAAAAGAAAGAGGAGGCAGAAGAGTAACTATTGGCATTTTAAGTGCTTGTACCAGGAGTAAAACTACCAGTGACAAGCCCAGCCTGAGCCCTGGTCTCTGGAGAGCCTTCTCCCCAGCCAAAAAGAATGCTTTTTATTGATGTGATGGCAAAGATCTTCACTCCAGCTTTGATTGTTTCCTTGCATGAACATGAAAAAAAAAAATCAATAAGCATCAGCCCTTCCCTCACCTCAAATGTAGACAGCAGCAATGCTTCCAATCCCATTTGAAAGAAATCACTATCTTGCAAAAGTTGGTGGTTGCTGACAGACATTCCCAGTGTGTTCACTCTCTTGGGGCTGGTTCCATTCATTCTTTCTCCCCTTCAGCCAGTCCATCAGTTTAGATGGGAAGAGAGCATATTAAAGGTAGAATCTAACATGATGGGCTGATCTCAGTGAATCGCTGATCTCTGCATCATAAATGATCATGGTGTTCTGGCTATAGCCACAGATGGGTTCTGGTTCTAGCTGGGAGTTACTCTGCACAGTCTCTGCAGTTCTCCTCTAATGAAAGGTAGGCAGATTTCACCATGGATATCACCAAAAACTCCCTTTAGCGCACACTCTGATAAGATTTGACTAATGCTTCTTGGACCCAAAGATTTTCGAAGCCCTTCCTGCCTGCCACCAGTAGTCTTTAATTCTGGATGAAGGGTATCCTCTCCTCTTGTATGGCAGAGTGGCTGCAACCAGCCTAGAGGTGCAGATCAAATTGGAGAGAGGTATCTGGATCCAATGTGGAAAACTTGTTAGTAAAGATTATTTTTAAAATACATCATCAGGTAAAAGTTGGGAGATGGCAGTAATTTGAGCTAGCAAAGCTCCCTATCTCCAGAATCCTCAAAATATCTTGTTAAAAAGATATACTTCAGGACAGAAGGTCTGTGTCTGGACAGAGTGATATCCATCCATCCATCCATCCATCCATCCATCCATCCATCCATCCATCCATCCATCCATCCATCCATCCATCCCATCCCATCCCATCCATTCTTCCCAACCATTGGAATGGCCATCTCTGGAGCCAACAAGGTCACTTCCTGAGCAGCTGTTACGAGGATCTGGAGAGACAACCAATAATGGTGACTTCATCACTAGGAAACACATGAAGTCTGCAAGGTTGACATTTACCGGGGGTTCCCTGCAAAATAGTATTGTCTGTTCCTCAGGATAGAAGATGTTTTGGATCTTTGGAAGACAATCTCACTTGTGCCTGCAACACTTTGTCTATGCATAAAATCTGATTTAGCTCTGTGTCTGTGCTTGTATGACATTGTCCTGAAATCCTGGGTGGCAAGAAGCAACAAAAACAAGTAGCTGCACTCAGACACATGAAAACAAAGAACACACTTTGCATGGAAGAATAGTCCTGGATCTTTATCCTTCTCATCCTTAAGACAACAATCCTGTAGTGCATGGTGAAAAGCTCCAGGCTTTTTATGTACTTTTCACGTCTTTTCACAAAGAGGAGGTCATGAAAAAGCATCTTCCAAGTCTCTCTGTTCATATGATAATGATGATTTTCTTTCTTGTATTTTAGAAATGACAGGCATGTTTGCCTTTTGCACTGTCTAAGGAAAGCCTAGCTTTTTGTCCAACCCACTCTTCAGCAATCCTGAAGTTTGCCCTTTGATCCAGGTCACTTCTTTCTCCTTTGTATCTTTCCATTTGTGACATCTTTGTTTCAATACCCTCCTTGCCAACAGAGAGGAACTAGAACCAACCTTAACAGCCCACCAATTTCAACCAGTTTGAAGTCTTACAGACTCATGGGGTGGTTCAAACCCATCTCTTTTTTTTCTGTCTCACTATGATAAATATGTTTTTGATGGGACTTTCCCTTGCTGACCATGCTCTGCAGCCCATGTGTCCTTTGTCATACTGCACTTGGAATCACCTCTCCATAGCACTGCAAGTGATTTGTGTTCTCAGCATCTTGAATGAACTAGAGTCCATGTATCATTCTTCAACATTTCACCCTCTTTGTCTTAACACTATCTGCATGGTGTGTTGAGCAGTTTATTAACTCCATCCAACCTGAGTCTTTCTTTGGTGATCTAGGGAGCATAAGATCATTGATCTCAGTCCCACATAATCTGACTGAAGAGATGGGAGGGATGAGTAATGCCAAAGGTTACTCCAGCAGCTGATAGTAACCTGGCATTGATGTAGCCTGCTTGATAATGCAAGATTGCATGGTTCGGAGTGTTTGGCTCTGCTCAGGGTACAGGCATCTCAGTGTAAAACACTTTGCTGCTATTCCCTGATAGGATCAAGTCTCTGGCACACTGTAGAGGGGAACTTTGCCTGGCATGAGGAAGGAGCGACATGTTTGCTGGAACAGAAATTGCAGTTGCTGGGATTTGAATTATAGAATACAAGTATGTTGGAGACTAGAGCTGCTTGGAGGTCATTAAAGTGACATTTCTGTAGACTGGCAAGTGGCAGATATCTTGCATTTCTCAAGTACTACAGATATTAGTGGTGGTGACCTTCAGAGTGGCCTGTCAGAGGGATAGTGTTTCCAACCCAAATTTCTAGACAATGAGTGGGTGCAGAGAACTAAATCTCCAGCAGATCATAGGCAGAACCAGTAGTTCACATAATTTAGAGGTTCAGCTGTTAGGTCCTCAACAGAGAGGCCTGAAGACAAGAATATTTAATAAAAATGCTATTATTTTCCAGTATGTGTGTTGTGGAAGAACTTGCCAGACTGCAATATGCATAGTTATCTCTAGACCAGTTTTCACAGCTTTTCCCTCAGGAGAGCAGTGCAGGGACAGCTTTGTGCAGTGGTTCAATCTCCCTATGCCCAAACTGGGCCATAAACACAGGAATTGCTTTGCAACATAGACGTTTTAAATAGGACAAGTTTTCAAAGCAAATGTAGGGTTTCCTCCTGTTTTTCCACTCTCTTTCCTTCTGTTTCAGTAGGATGTGTAACTCCTCACAGATAAAGGTGCAGGCGGAAGTCTGAGGGCTACTTTGCAGCTGACAGCAGTAAGCACATTTTGCTTTGTTTGATTGTCAAAATCTTGCCTGAAACACTTATTTGTAAAGCACAGCCCAGTAAACTTCAGGGTGAACCATTTTTTGTGATGTCAGGAGCAGAGCGCATCCAGAGCACACACATGTGCCTTGATGGAGGCTGGGTGGGCTGTGGGTGCTTCCCAAAGGCTACCCAGGCCCCCGGCTCTGACCAGAGCAGAGGACTCCATTGGCAGCTGGAAAAGGCCGTGGCTGTAGGCTCCCAAGCCTCTGCACTACCTGAACAGCCTGATCTGAGGTCCAGAGAAGCCCAAGTTGATGCCTGGGGGCTCTGGGTCACACTAGTAGGAGCAGTAGCTCGCTACCACCACCCACAGTATTCATATTTGCCTGACTTTATTCCATTTCAGCCTGCTGTTTTCAGATGCCTTTGGCCAGGCAAGACAAATCCTCTTTCTAAGGTCTGGGGCAGAAAAGCTAGCCAGGTTGAAAATGTCATGTCACCTGTAGTCATCTTATTCCTGTAACAGATAGTGTAGCTGATTAATACTAAAATAATCACAGTGTACTTCAAATTACATTCTGTGAACAACAATCTGTTTTTCAGTTCATCACTGATTATTAATTATTTTATTACCTCCTGTAGCTGCGTTAATAAGTAATCATACTTAAGCATATTTAAATGTTTTAGAAGGTGAAACATATTTAGTCCATTACTCGCTTCTTGTCAGCTCTTTAGCAGGAAAAGTTCACCTGCTGTGCAGGGGATACAAGTTAACATGGCTCTAATGATTGCAGAAATCAGTCGCTCAGTTAATCATTAAAGTTCATAACACCCTCTCCCATAAAAGACTTATGAATATGGTCTGAGCAGTGGTTTAGTCTGATCTGGAGTCTGAAGACATTTAGACCTCCTTCTAACAGCAAGTTAATTTCTATAATTGATGGCATTATTACAAGGCTGCAGGCCTGGCTATGATGTTGTTGGAAAGGAGTTTAAAGATTGCACAGAAGTCTGCTTTTACTGTCTCTCTGAAAATCACTGTGGAAAATTCATTTCCTAAGGTAACCAGAAATATCCGTGGTGATTGTGGACACATTTAAAATGGAAGAACAGCATGAAAGCTAAAGCCTTTGGAATATCTCTGCAGAGCAGACTGGACAATCTGGCCTTTCCAGTTCCCAGTGCTACCCATCAATGCTGCTGTTACCAATTCCCAGGCTAGGCTGGGGAGATGACCAGGTCCTGCTGGCTGCACACCCTCCCCTTCTCCTGATGATCACTTTGTACGTAGTTCCCTCACACGTACATGCAAGACTGTGCCAAGCACCCCTGGGAAATGCCTGGATGAGCCTTACCTTGTGTTTCAGTTGCTTTTTAATAGAAAATTAGATCCTAAGTCACACCTTGTTCTGAGTTTAGATACTAGATTCCCACTATGAGTCGTTGCTGTGTCTAATGCTGGTTCGTGGTGTAATTACAGTGGACGCCGCATGGAGTACATGAGTTCTGGGATGTGCAGAGTGCCTGGTGTCTTCATATGAATAGATTTCATTCAGTGGGCTTCTCCTGGTAGACCTGGATTGCTTTATACAATATGTTCTATGGTGTAGCTGGTCTCAGGTCCCTGACAGCAGCGGGAAGATCCTCAGAGTGGGGACAACACCTATCATTACTTCCTAGCTCTGTCTTCGTGTCCACTCATCTTCATTAACATCTGAACTGTCTGTCTTCAGCACCTTCCATCATCCTTCAGTACATCATGTCTGACACGTAAGTGCCTCTTTTGCCATTTGCTATGCCAGCTCTTCTCCCTTCAGCGTGGACAGCATGACCATCCCTGGAGCCTTGTGGGAGGAATGCATTTAATCTCTCTTGATTTGCAGCAACCCTGAGATATGATGGCAAGATGAAAGGCTTCCCTCTGCCCTACAGTGCTGTGTTGAGCAATCCTGAAATCCAGGGCTAGTGCAAATGCCCTCCATCTGTTCTGTAGCTTACCTGAGTAGGTCATGAGGTGCTCTAAAGGGTCCCAGAGGCATTTTGGAGGACATCATGATGTTAAATTGTGACGTATTTGTGGCACTGAGGTAGTGTATGATACAGCCTTGTAATAAGGTGCAAAAATGTTGCAGTGCTGTCACCCGCATTCTTAAAGCCACTGTCTTTCTGCTACAAAAAAACCCTATAATCCTTTATGATGTGTCCTCCTCTCACCACACCCAGGAAGCAGGCCAGCAAAGCAGAAAATCAAGTTCTTCCCCTAGGATGACCACACAGGGTGTCATTCTTTTCTAAAGACTACATTCCTACATCATCTCCCCATGGCTGAACCTTACATGCAGCAGAACACACTGCCCAGTTGAGAGAGAGAACAAGGAGTCTGTATAGTTTGAGCCTGCATTCACTTACACTGACCTGGCAATACACAACATAAATCTGGCAGCACTCAGCCCATCAAGGAGTCACCCGTCTGAGGCAGCTACTGCCCAAGTGCAGCTGCGCACATTTTTTTATACTACTACTCTGATCTAAGGGGCTGCAAGGAGGCTAAAAATCTAGCTATGTTCATTCAGTTATTTGACTTGCAGCAGGACATAGCTGCCAGGCCAGGACCTCATTCTGCTATGTGCTGCATGCCAGGCTTACATGGAGTAGCTGGGTCCACCCTAGTCCAGCACATTCTTATGTGCCAGGAGCCCTCAAGTGGCAGATGCCATGGGTTCTGGCCATCTTCTCGCCACATCTTCCTTCCCTTCCACAAGGCCGCCTTCTTGATCTTTTGCTCCTTGCACCCTTTTACATCTTCTCATCCAGGCAAAGCAGGTAAACTCAGAGGACAAAATGTTCTCCATGCAATTCCACAGTCACTTCATCTCTGTTTTTTTCTTCCACCTTCCCTAGAAAAAAGAGCCAGTGGCACTCGCGAAGAAAACCAACAACACCTACAACATTGTTGGCACCACATATGCCCTCAACATCGCCAAGGACCCCGGCCTGCCCACCATCTCCAAGAGCGCTGCTGCCACTGCTACTGCCACCAACGTAGCCCCCAAGATCCCTCGCATAGAGGAAAAGCTCCCAGAGAGTAAGAAGACATACAACAGCGTCAGCAAGGTAGACAAGATGTCCCGCATCGTCTTTCCAGTCCTCTTTGCTATTTTCAATTTAGTCTACTGGGCCACATACGTAAACCGGGAGTCAGCTATCAAGGGAATGATCCCCAAACAATAAAACCGGTCACACAAACCTTCCATCAGTGAGCACCATCCAGGCAGGAATTCCCCAGGGCTTTCTTCTTTCCTGTTTTGTTTAATTATTATTGTTCATTTGATATTATTATTACTACTAGATCATTCTTTTATAATGTAAACAAAACTGTGATTTTAATTTAATCCTGTATACTTCGGTTTTATTTTACTTTGTCTCCGATGATGAAAGGGATAAAAAAAAAAAAAGTTCATAACAAGTTGTGCCTCTAACATTGTGAGTCTGATATCCCCCATCTGTCCAAGTCACCCTGTGCTTCCATCTCGCCTCCTTCACCTCCTGCCGTTCCCACGGTCTGCATACCACTGCCATTCCACGCTCCACTCTGCTGGGGGCTGCTGCTGTGGTCCACCCTGCTCCTCCTCTTCTGCAATGGACTGCCCTAGCATGGTGGATGCTTCTGGTGGCCTGGGCTCAAGGATGTGGAGGCCTCCAGAGTCAATCAGTCAACCAGGCTGCTCTGCAGTGCCTGGTGCTTTGTGCTAGCTGGTACTCCCTGGGCTGTGGTTGCAGAAGTGAGCTGGGCCATTGAGGGAGCAGTGCGGCGTGGGCCAGCTTGTAGCCCAGTGCCTGTTCGGGGTGAGCCCACCACTGCTGTGGTCGGTGGAGCCATGCAGAGGTGGAACATCTTGTAGGTATCTACAGGGCTTCTTCCTCTCTGTCTTCACCAAACCCAGCTGCTGGTTTCTTCTGCGTCTCTCCCCAGACAAGAACAGGTGAGAAAGGTCTTGTCTGTCTGCCATCCTGCACTCTTGGGGCAACTCATGTTAGAGGGTGGGGTGGTTCCTACCAGAGAAATAATTTTTCTCTGGGTCAGTCAGGAAGTCAAGAGAGGAGCTTTATAATTCCTTAGAGGAAAGAGCAGCTGTGAGGCCTCATGCATTCAGCATCAGGACCGAAAGCCATAGAGTTCATGTTCAGATGGAGTGGCTTATCACTTTCTCTTGGCCCATCCACATACCCTCCTTGGCATCTCCTCTCTGTGCCAGCATCTTCTTCCAGGTCCCCATTCATCTTCCTTTGGCTACCCAGCAGCCCTCAGTAGTATCTTACTGTTCACGGGTGGATTTAGGAAGAGAAGCCCCTACATTTTGGATAAGCCACACTGACTGGGAGGAGCACAGCCGAGGGAAGTCCAGCTCATGGTGCATCCCTACTCCAGTGCACCAGAGCAGCAGTGATGCTGGTTCAGGCCAACTCAGGTGCAGGCTGTTTCCTGTGGGACACACCAGGGGCCACTCTGCCACCTGTGAGTCAGAGGACAGTCAATACCCAAGAACCTGCCTTCCCCTGGTGAACAGATGCAGCTGAGCATCCTCATCACCATGGCAGAACAGAAGGGGCTCTTTGAAACAGCAGGGTGATTCTGCTGTCCCAGAGAGCCATGTGAGCCAGGTGCCATCCCACAAAGCCATTGAGATAAGACCAAACTCTAACACCTGCACACTCTTCTAAGGAAAGCCTGCTGGTGCCTTGGAAAGAAGTTTTTTTCCTCCCTTCTCGGCCACCACAGTCAAGGACCCAAACCAGTGGTTGTCCCCTTCCCAGCAGCAGCACAACATGGTGGCATCCAAGCCATCTGTCCCCCCTCCCTGGTGCCTGGACCCATGGACACACTGTTCTGCTACAAGAAAGGATGTCCTGTGCCTGGTGAGTTCTTGTCCACAGCACTGATCCTGCCAGCAGCCCTGCTCCCAGGGTGGGATGCACCTTCTCTTTCCTGGGCCTCCCTCTGACCCTCCAGCTGCACCCCCTGAGCTGCTTCTGGCATGTTTTGGGTGCATGCAGCCAGGCCAAGCCCCAGCATTCCCAAGGTGATGTCTTCAGCATTGCTTTGAGCCACTGTGCCAAGCTCAGTTTTCCCCTGTCCATGCAGGAATGGGGCTAAGCACAAGGCACAGGATTCGCCCCACCTGGAATATCCATGGGGGATGGCAGGACAGAGGTGGGAAGGCAAGGGCACTTTGTCCTTCAGCATGGGTGGCATTGGTGCATGTCCTGCCCATCCCTTACCAATCTTGCTGGCTCAACAGCAGTGCAGTCGCTCCCCCTGCCTACAGCTGTGGCGAGCAGAGGAGCGAGGAGACATTTAGCTCAGCCCCCAGTGCATTCAGTCCACGACCGCATCAACACCAGCAGGCAGCATCTGGCAGGAGATGGCAAATCCCCTCAAGCCGATGCTAAGGACACCAGCTCTTTCCCCATCCCACCCCACAGCATCCACACCCCAAACCGCCCATGACGTTTCTACAGTGCTTGTCATCCCTGAGGGCTTCCCGCTGGGTGGCGAGGAAGGGAAAGCTGGGAGCTCTCCCCCTTTGCACCCAGCGTTGGGTTGGAGGAGCAGAGGGAGGGCACACCGTTCCCAGCCCTTCTGCCGGGCAGGGCGGACATCCCGTCTGCGTTTGCACCTACGGGCCTGGTTTTTCCTGGCACTGGCCTCCTGGTGCTGCTGCAGCCACTCTGCTCTGACAGCCCGGCTGCCCCAGCACTGCCCTGCTGCAGCCCCATACCCTTTGCCACCCAGGTCCCCTGTGCTCCCTCCACACCAGCACCATCTCTTCCAGCAGTGAGTGCCATTGCTGCTGTCCTGTTCCTTGGGCTTTCTGGCGGGAAGTGCCATGCTAACTGGCCAGGAGGCTATTTGTTTTGGAAACTACTTGGATGTCATTTTCTTAAATAAGCTAGATGAAGTGTATCTTATAAAATATTCATGTCACTATAATACTCAGGCCTAAGTGAATGGAATAGAAACCCTATAAAAAGCAAAACAAACACAATAAAATTGTAACAAAGAGTATATTGTGTTTACTAACAGAATTACATCAAAGGCAAGTTTAAATATGGGATCCAGTGACTTAGCTGACTTGAGCTGGCCCCAGAACAGAGGTGGTTTCCACTGCTAGCCTGGGCATTCCCCAAAATCCCCTCTACCCCAAGGGCCACCTCCTACCACACATCGCCTTGCTACACGTTCCCGTGTCTGTTGGTCCCTGCTTCGTAGAGCTCTCCATAAATTGTCAGCTCTTACCATCAGCTTCTCAGCAGCCCAAGCACCTGCAGGCACTGCCTTTGCTGCCCACCCAGGGCCACCCAGGCTCAGTGTGGGGGGGTGATGCTCAGAGTGCCGGGGCCGGACCTCTCTGTGGTGCTGGGCACAGCATCGGGGCAGCACCTGCGCTGCCTCCTTTCCTGCAGGTGATCTGATCTGTCTCAACTATCTGTCAGTGTGAATCTCCTGCCTGTCTCTTTCCCAAGCCCTTCCCTCCCTGTGACACCAAGACTCTTGTCCCTCCCCAGGACACAGCCCACCCATCTGGCTTGCCGGTGACACCCGTCTGCTGGCTCATCTTTGCTCCTCCTGAGTCAAAAAACTTTGCCCAATAAAAGCCTGCCTTCCTGAATCTGTGTGAGCACGCCTTGAAAGCCAAGTCTATTCCCACCAAAGCCTGGCACTGGCTCTGAGTCTTTTTGCCAGCTGGAAGCAGAAATACCGGCATCCTTTGGTTAAAGACAACAAACCAAACAGGATTTGTAGTTTGGCTTCCAAGCAGGGAAGCATTTCGGGAAGATAGTTATAAATAAGTGGTTTAACATCTCCTGCCAGCAGACATCACAGAAAAGATAATGTTCTTTTTTTTTAAAAAATCTGCCAGCAGCTCAAATTGGGACATTTCCTTCCCAGCTAACACAAGGCTGCTGACGGGGGCTTCTTCTAAGGGCTCACTGAGCCAGAGCTAACCTAGCATCAGGTACTGGGGTTTTCTGCTTGCTGTGATAGTATCTAAGGGCTCCATTTTTATAATTGGTCCTATATAGGAATAGATCTGTACATGGCCATAGATAGTCTAATCCACACTTGTGCACAGAGTGGGCACTTCATTTCACTGTGAACCTCAATACTCCAATATTTCTTTTGTTCTCGCAAGGCCCAAAACTTCCCTGACTTGATGAGAGTCTCCCAGGCAGAAATAATAAGTCTTTGAAGATGATAAAAATTATCTGTTCAGTCTGCACTCCTGTTTTGTATCTTGCACCACCTGGGACACATACAGTGCAGTCCAAGCCTGCAGTTGTATTCCTCCTGAAAATGTCAGAAGGACATTTTGGTGCTGGCGGCTTGCTTCTCCCCTCCTCTGAAACCGCACATGGGCAAAAGCAGTGCGGCTTTCAGGAGCTTTGCGCCCCAGGGAGGCAGGGGACAGTTTGGCTGAGGTGCTCCATTCGTGCAGGGGAGGTAGCATGTGGTGGCTTCAAGCACCGTGTTAGTGCTCTGACATTTCTGCAGGGTGATAGGAGAGGGTTGGGGGAGGAAGTGGTCCCTCGGTGCCATCCTTTCTTCTAAAAGGCTGATGGAGTTACCCCCATACAATGTCTCGAAAGCTTCTTGAACATCACTGAGCAGGACTGTGACACCTGAGACAGAGCTTCCCAGTTCTCTGAGCACAGAGCTCAACACAAGCAAAGCTGGCTTTGTCACTCCTTAGGTTTTACAGACAAGTGCTGTGGCCAGCACAGCTCACCTCCATCTTGATCCTCACCAGCTCAGTGGCACTGGCAGGGTCCTAGTTCATTTGCTGTAGGACATCCCCTGTGCAAGCAGACCCAATGTTTGCTGTTCCCAGACAGAAGCCATGCATGCAAACAAGGTCACGACCAGCCTGTTTCTGTGAGCCTAACCCTATGGACACAAGGTGCATTCATTTCTTATTCACTGCCTTGATTTCTTCTGACCATATCTTGGATTCATTTCAGCCATCCCTTGGGGAGGATTATAGGGCTTCATCACATACCAGGAAAGGGTTTCTCTTGCTCCATATCACCTCACATAGGAAGACCCACTGTTTTGCTAAGAACCTCCCTGAGACCTTCAGAAACCTGGAGCTGTTGCCTCCCTGGAGGGTACTGCAAAAATAGCCTTTTTGCAGTGGTCTTTAGAGCTGTTGGAGGAACAGAGCAGTTAATCACACGCTGTTGTTAAAGGAAGGATCATGGTCAAAGGCAAGTGGCTATTGAGTACAGGTACTGCACTCTCCCAGCTTGCCAGGGCATGCCATGAGCAGGAGAGGACCAGGCAGCTCCCAATGGGCTCACTTGGGGAATGGTGTGAAAGGGACTTGCTAGTGACCCCCCTCCAGGTGCTTGGTCCCGGGGGTGGTGGAGAGCCGGCGTGAGGCCATGGGTCTGGACCGTCATGGCATGCAGCATCAGGCCAACCCTCACTCCAGGACCTCTTCCCCAAATTTTGTGCCTCTCTGCGGACATACTTTAACCCACCCGATCAAATATCTGTGTGGATTTTGCAGAATGGAGAGAAGCAATATTTCCCTGACTACTTGGTGGCTGTTGGGGGTGGTGAGGGCTCAGCCAGGGTGAGAGGCACGTTCATGAAAACATAAATGCTCTATTAATGTCAATGCAGGGAGAAAAAACCCCAAACAATTCACCAATCCTCTTTCCATATCAAACTAAAGTACTCCTGAAGGCATTTTTGGCAAGAGGCCACAGCACATGTGAGATTGATGGCTTCCAGGTATAAATATTTACTGTTTGACCTTGTTATTGTTCAGTCAGCCAAATGTTTTTATGTATATATAAATATATATATATGCATGTGTGTGTGTGTATCTTTATGCTCACAAACTCTTTATATCTGAAAGTCAAACCTCTTTCTCTTTGAAAGAGAAAATGGTCACTTTAAATTTTTTTACTTCCCTCTTGTTCTGTTTGCTAAATCTTCTGGAAGGAGGTGCATCCCTCTCCACTGGTCTTCAGATGGCTTTGGGAGGCACAGGGAACAAAGGGAGCAAGGGAGAAGAGCCTCTCCATGCTGGGGTCTTGGTGCAGGCTTTCTGCCTGGACAGAGGACACTGCTGTCAGTGCTGCTCAGCACCTTTCAGGAAAACCTTAGTCCCAGATGTCACGACTTCTCCAACACAGCCCTTGTCCTGCCCCAGACACTAGGATGTTCCCAGGAAGGCAGCATGGCCTTTCAACAGCTGAATGCCATAAGCAGTTAGCCCTCACCCCACAGCACAAACAGGGAACGTGTAGCTGAGCGTTGCAAAGGGGTGTGAGGTTTCCACCCTTAGACTGCTTTAGGAGGGAGCACAAAACCTGATGGGATCCATTCCAGCTGTCCCTAGCCAGAGGAACACTGCAGGTAGCGGATGCACTTCAGCTTGGGCTGTTCTGTAAAGCAAAGGGAAGTGCTGGCAGTTGGCCACTGCTTTCTGCTCATCCAGGTGGGGCATGCTGATATGTGACTACATGCTAATTGTGGGATGGGTCAGCAAAAGCATAGGCCTTCACTGCTGCTGTGTCCTGGACCCACATGTGATCTCAGTTCAGCACAATCAGGACCAAAGGGAGATGCTGGGCAGCCCATGAGCAGTGGGGCCATGGTAATGGAGCGGTGTGCAGCTCCTCACAGTGGTACCCAGCCTCAGCTCCCTTAATGTCACCCCTTCGTATCCCTCTGTCTTAGGAGAAACATCTAGGCAGTGATCCTGCAACTGCACTGATAGCTCCTATATGCCCTCTTCTGCTGCTGGAGAAAGGTTCTCGCAGTCAGTGGCGATTGTCGATCTGTGCCTTGTGGTGTCCCAGCCACGAGAATGAAGGATGTCATCTCCCATAAGCAAGCAAAGCCAGTTCTCTTTCTAGGTCTATGCCTGCCTCCCACTACAGGAATCTGTGCTGCTTGAAACAGCAGAGAATCTTAGGCTTGGATTAGTCCTAACGTTTGATCTGTCATAATTCATTACAAGCAGCTGGGGTTTGCTCATGAAGCTCTAGGACAAAATACGATGTTCTAACTATTCTTTCCTATTCCCCACTGTCCCAGTGCCCACCAGTGCAGATATCTTCTGTACACAGCTTTCATGATCCCATCTGCCTAGAAAGGGAAGCCTGGTCCCAGGTTTGCTACGTGAGCCAGGATGCTCCCACAGTCTTCAAAGGCTCTTGGTTCTTTTCACTGCTCCTTGAAGGTTCTGTCAACTGGGTAAGTCCATTGGCTCATGTTACACTGCCAGCAGCACCGTTTCCCCTGAGAAGTCTGACAATTCCTCCTGTCTTTTTGCAGGGCATCCAGCAAGCGTAATGGCAATTATACATTGAGCAATTTGATTTTTGCAACCACAAATAAGTAGGGGCAGAGTTGGGAAACCTGTCATTGCCACATTGCCTTTGCTAGACTGTATTTAGAGTTGAAGGGCTCATCTTGGTTGTCACAAAAGAGTTTCCCAGCCCACCAAATCTAGTCAAGTGACCACAAGTATCCCTTCGTGAACTACATTTTCACTGTTGACTGACCTAGGGATAGCCACAGGCTAATGTCCTATCCAAAGGTGAGGACACCCGCTGCTTCTTTAGTTGCAGCCCTGGTGCTCAGGGTAGGGAACGTTGCATTAGCATCACGCTAGAGCAGTCCATCATGGGAAAGAGCACACTGCAAAAAATCGCCAGAGAATACGCTTATTTTCACTGCCTCAGGTTCAGTCTGTGCCCCAGTATGTCTTCTGCATTTTATTCCATCTTGTGAGACTCTCTTTACTCCACTATGAGAAAGAATCTAGCCAGCAGCAGTTTAATGCATGACAATCCTGTTATTACAGCTGTAAATAATTAAAAATTAGAAAAAATGCATTTTTTTTTAATTTTTTGTTGACTTTATTTTCTCTATTGACTAACTGGTAGCCACTTTCTTAAGGGATTTCTCATGGAAACTGTGACCTTTCTTCTCCTTATTTAGCTCTCTTTCTTTCTCTTTCTGAGATTTGTGTTTCAAATGCTTTTTGGTGCAATGTTCAATGCCTGTTTGTATTTTTGAATCGTATTTTTCAACCTTTGCTGGAAAAGAAATTTTGCCCATTCTAATTGGCAGGATTTTGAGTCCTGCAATTTTTTTCAGCTTTTAGCTTTTTCAGTAAGTTAAAGAAACAGAAAAATGTCTCAAAGAATTACAGTGAAGTTCTGAAGAGAGATTAGAAAACATCAGAAACAAGAACTACATCAGTAAGATCAGCAAGCTGAGTGGAGGAGGAGGACTCTTCTGACCACCTGCTAACCTTGTGATCTAACACCCAAGGCGGGACTAGACCTCTTCACTGAATTAAATCACTCTGCTTTTCCACTCTACCCACTCTCTCGAACTCCAATCTAAACAAATAAAAACTCATATTTTAAAAAAAAATCTGTGTCATTTTTTTTTCCATGGTCTGTTTCTCAAAGCTAAATGATGTTGACATGCAGAGGGATGGGGAACCTGGGGAGCCAGTCCTCTGGGCTTCAGGCTACCGGCACATCTGAGCAGTTTGTCCCAGTGATGAGCAGACAAGCTACCCATGAAAAAATAAATATTCCAAGGGAAAAGAAAAAAGCTAGAAAATACCCCATGGTTTCCATTGTGTTATGTTTAAAATTCTTTTCCTTCCAATGGCAGGGGAGTGAAGGGCACAAGGTACCTTCAGGGAAGATTGGCTGGAGAGTTTGGGAACCAACTCAAAGATGGGATGGTGGTGGTGTGATGGGTGGGCAAGAAGGAGACCCTGAGGTGTGCTCTTCCCCCGCAGTGTGTGACCCATGGTTAGACTTTGCTGTTCCAGTAGAGCATTTTGACATTTCTCTGTGTACAACATGAATTGAGCTTTCTGCTGCTCTAGGGGCAACCAAAAGAGTCCTTGGCTGAGACACTGGTTTATCCAACTCACCACATAGATTTCTCCAGCTGAATCGTGTCTTAAAGAGACCTTGGTGGGGAGAAGGACATGGGGGCCCTCAGACCAGATATCTTTGGCCATGTGGTAAATCGAATGTGTGCCAAGGAAAGGTTGTGGGCAGCTCAACCCACCATGCTGTGCTGTTACAATGACCTCCACTGTCACTTTGGTCCACCCAAACAGCTTCCAAGCATGACTTGGGATTTACCATGGTACAGAGGCCTTTGCTGCAGCGATTTTTGATTGTGGCTACCCTGGTTTGGGAGATTTAATAGCACATAGCTGGCCATGCCATGTCACTTGGACAGTGTGATGCGTGCAGGTGACTGTGGTCTGTTGGCAAGGAAGGTCAAGGTGTAGGGGCCTCATTTGGACACTTCATTGCATCTTCTTGGATGCACAAGAGGTTATATTTAGCAACTAACAGAAAGAATGATTTTTCTCACTGGATAGGAAGATCTGAAATGAAGTGAATCTCTTCAACTGCAAGAACAGAACAAAAATCACCTGCAAGAAATGCTGAAGTTCATCCTATTGCACTAAGTTTGAATCATCCTATGTTCGCCTGTGATTTTTTCTACATTTTTGGCTACTTTTTAGTTAAAAATATTGATGATTTACCCAAATTCCACATATTTGGTGAGGACTTTTTCCCTACTCTCAATTACTGCTGGGAAATAACCAAAGAAGCAAATAACTCCAGTGACATCGTCAGTTGTTTTCCACGCCTGAAGAAGGAATGAAATACCCTCCCCCTTTCCCCAGATTCCCTGAGCACCAGCTGGCTGCTGCACCAGGGACTTTCTGGCAGGACAATATCTCCAAACATATTGCAAACTTGAACAAAAAAGTTACACATTTGAATTTGCTGCGTTCAGCTGAATCCTCCTTCTTGCTCAGAGATTCGGATGACAGAAGAGGCTTGGGAGTGCCGGTGCTCACAGATGCTGTGGCAGATGGATAGTTTACCATGGGTCTTAGCAGTACAGACTGCATACTTATGTCTTCCTGATGAAGGAGCATAGCTTGTGACCTCAGCAAAAGCCAGCAAGGAAGGACTCCGCCACTGTTATAAACCATAAAATCTGGAACCTGAAGTTTTCACCCCTTTCCCCATCACCCCCCCCCCGCCCGAGTCCTTCCCCAATCAAAACCGCACAGGGTTGGTCCCAGCCTGAAAAGATCTTCCTGACTCAGAAGACAAAAATAAACAGCGATGTGAAAAGCTTCCCTGCATTATCACTTCTCTATTTGAACCTGGAACAAGGGCCCTGAAGAGGAACAGAGTGTAATTGCAGTGTCCACAGAAAAGAAATACTAATGAAAACAGGCAGAGCCAGGAGAATTGGCGGAGAAGAGGCATAGCTGAGCAAGTATTTATTACCCCAGCACTTAGTGCTCGGGCTGACAGGTGGCTTAGGAACACAATAGCCGGGTTTTATTATTAGGTGCTTATACTACAGCAGTGCTCAGGGAGGGGAACTGTTGATGTGTGGCTCCCGAGGTGCCAGATGTTGGGGAGCAGATAAATGTGTCTCCTATGCCAGGCTGTAATATGGCTGGCAGGGATGGCTCAGGCCCACAGCCCTGTGAAGGAAAGGGTCCCCTGGGGCACAGTGGTCATCTTTTGCCTTCAAAGGGTGGCTGTTCCAGAAACCTCTTCTGCAAACCACCTCCTCATGAGGTGGGATGAGTGCCCCAAAGCCAGCCCTCAGCTAGCTTTCATGCATTTGGGTGTTATGATCAGAAACCCCAGCATCAAGGTAGAGTTCCCTCGGTGGAAGGAACTCCTTTCTCTGTCTTCTTCACCATGTAAGATGAGTAGGTCCAATGCTTCATGATTCCTGTTTGCAGGGCTCTTCTGAGGACCATCACCGTGCTGGCTGCCTCGTAAGCAAACAATGATTTCTTCTGCAAAGCACAATTCCTCCTGACTGAACTCATCCATCAGCAGCTTGTCAGCAGGAACATGGTTTGAGACTTTGCGGTCACCCCACTCCACAGAAAACACCCTCGCTTGGCAGATTTGTGGCTTGCTGGGATTCATCCTCCCTTATACTTTCACATGTTGGCAGGATACAGGCTGCAGGGGCCTCATAGGGGATCACAGGCTTCACTGCCACAAGCATGCACTCACTGCAATTGAAGGTGGGGAAAAGTGGCTGTGATTTTCCTCCTGTCCCCACCAATTTTCCTTTTCATGCTTGGCAGGTGGATGATGTGTTAATAGCAGCCAGGGCAGCAAGTGGGGCTGCTTCCCAGCACAGACATACTCAGCTCCTTCCATGGATCCTCAGTGTCCTTCATGGAGATGAAAATGTCCTTTTCTCCTCCACTCCTAAGCAGGCAGCAGGTGATGGGCTGTGGAGGGGACTGAGTGATGTGCCTGGAGCAGTGGGTATGCGTGTCAACCACAGCAAAGCTCCTTCACCCCACAGCAGCAAGGAATGCCTCCCTGAGCCCCCTGGTCAGGGGAAGCAGGAGAAGGAGCCTGCTCCAGCCCTGGTCTGACCCCAGGGCAGGGGACACATTTCCAGTGTGGGAACTGCAGGTCTCCTTGGGTCTCATTCTTGGACAAGCCTGCAGTCTCACCAACAAAGCAGGTATCTACCCCACATACTGCTGTGATCCGTGGTCCCTGCTCCAGGGGAGGAGTACTGCAGGTGGGATTCGGGTCTCCTGTTACACCCCACTCTGGGGCTACGATGGGTGTTTTGCAGTGGGGGCTGTGGAAGACACAGCCAAGGGCACTCAGGTGGGACAGGGGGGTCAGCAGGCCAGGGTATGGCAGAGACCCTGGGCTGAACCCCCATCCCCACAGCCACCCTTTTGGCTAACAGAGAGAAAATGTCTCCAAAACCGAGTGCCGGGTGATTTTCTTCAGAAGGGGAGAGGTGTAAGAGCTAGCTGAGCATTGGGCATTTTATAAAAGCACTTTGGGATCCCTGATAAATAGCAATCTAGGAATTGACAGCAGTGGTTTGCGGCCGTGATAGTCTAAGGACATAAGTGAGGCAAGGGTGGTAGGAAAAAAGCTATATTTTTTTATTACACAGTATATCTGGGGAAAAGAAGCCAAGCTTTCAAGCCTACAAACTGTCCTTCAGATGTGGTGCCATAAACTTCAGGCTTAGGCCTGGGAAGGACTGGTCTGGTCTAGCTTCATTAAAGAGGCAATCAGAAAGCAAAGGCTCCTAGCTCCTGCGCAGACTGGCAAGTTGCTTATACAGGGAAAGATACTTCTTGGGCTTTTGTGAAGAATAAAGGAGAATAAGAGACAAAATAGTATTGCTGAGTTTATTCAGAGAAAGAAAGAAAAGCATTTAGTGATCTGGATTTAAAAACAAAAAAATAATAAAAATGCGTATAATAGAGAAAGAAACCATCTCTAAATTTAATGCACAATTTTTTTCAGCAAATTCAAGTTTTACACTTGCTCAAGAAGCCTGGGAGCAGTAAGTCTCCAGTCTGACCCCAGTTCAGCTATACATCAGCCCAGACTGGTGCTGGAAATGACCATAACTCCTCAGCCCATCTCCTGGCATTCGAGTCAAGCTGGTTAGGCTCCGCTCACAATTTCTCTTTGCTATTGTGAATCTTTAAATATGTGTGCTAGACTGCAATCCCCAGTTTGACTGTAAAACTAGCCTTTGCCTTCATCTTGCCTTATTACACCCATCTTAAATTATGAGGGGTAGCAAGACAGGGTTGATAAGGAGGATTTATTATGCTTGAATGACCATCCATAGCAACTCATTGCCGAGTGACTTCATCTCTCTCCTCTGGAGAATAGCTGCTGCTGGAATACACTCATTTTCAAGTGTGAACCCTCGATCAACTAGGATCAGAGGACCCCACTCACACCCTCACTGGGAAGGGATGATTGGGTTCACCTGACCATAGTTATAAAGGGAAGCATCTCTAAGCATCTCACTTGTGAGGGCCCTGGCTCAGAGGAGATGTAGAGCTTCAGCGGCGGGGGGGGGGGGGCCCTGAAGTGGGGGTCTGTCATTGCATGGTGGTGTTGTAATGTCCTGGGTAAGGAGCAGAGCTGGGCAGAGTTCTTTACCTTGAGGTAAGGATGCTCCAGGTGCTGGGGGGAAGGAGCCCTGGGAGCATCATGCGATGACCATGGGGAGCTCAAGGTGGTGAGAAGCGTCATTTTACCAGAAGTAGCAATTCCTCTCCCTCTTTGGGTTTCCATGTAGGCAGTATAAAACAAACCAGCTTTCAGGGAGTGTGCTGGGACTCAGCATCCCCGCTGAAAATACTAGTGGTTGTCTGCTGGGATGTGCAGGCAATTGTGCCACCTCCCAGTGTGGAAATCAAGTCCAATGTGCAACAGGGCAGAGCTGGTCTACTTCTGTTAGACCTGCAGGGGTACTGGGAAGAGGTCAGCCTTTTTGGTATGTTTTCTAAATTATTGCTGGGGAATCGGGTGACATTTTCCTTCCTTTGCTAAGTTTAGAGTGTA